ATTTATTTTGTTGTTGTTGTTCAGTCACACAGTCGAGTCCGACTCTTTGCGACCCCATGGACCAGATCACGCCAGGCCCTCCTGTCTTCCGACGTCCTCTGAAGTTTGCTCAATTTCATGTTCGTTGCATCTATGACACTGTCTAACCATCTCATCCTTTGCCGTCCCCGTCTTCTTTGACCTTCAATCTTTTCCAGCATCAGGGTCTCCTCCAGTGAGTGCTCCCTTCTCATTGGGTGGCCAAAGTATTTGAGCTTCAGTTTCATTATCTGGCCTTCCAGGGAACAGTCAGGGTTGATTGCTCGCTCACAACTTTAATGCAAGTTGCTCACAAGGTAGACTTTTTGCCCACAAGGACTCCACAGCTTAGAGGGGGCATTGCTTCTGACTGTGGTTTTCTTTCGGCGGGGAGCTGATGTCTGGGGCTGTTGCTATTGTCGTTTCATTATTTTAATGTGAGAGGTTAGTTTTTAGTGAATTCTTGTTAATCGTCCTGGAGGATTATGAGCAGAGGTCATTTCGGGGGGGGGGCGGGGGGGGACACAGTTCCCCCGGTGAGGTGCGGGGGGCGGGGCACATGACGAAGCCCCGCCCCCTGCTTCCAGCCGCCCTGCTTCCGGCCCTCATTCAGCCAGGAGAAGGCAGGAGAAGAGGGAGGGTAAGTTGCTTCCTCCCCGCCTCTCCCCACCCCTGCCTGCCTGGAGCCAGGGAGGGCCTTCGCGGGGCTTCCTTGCACTCCCACCAGCCTTGCAGGTCCACCGCCGGGCCCCTGATGTCAGGGGGCGTGGCATATGCTAATGAGTTATGCTAATGAGTCCCCCTAGCTCTTTTTCTACGAAACAACCCCTGATTACGAGAGATCGTGGGCAGTGTTCCCTCTAAGCTGAGTTAGTGAAGCTAGTTCACAGTTTTTTAGCCTCCAGCTCATATATTGTTATCTGAGCTCAGGAAGGAGGGCTCCAGATCAAGCTAATCTACGCAGCAGCCAGACCGCTCCCTCACAACGTTAATGCCAGTTGCTCACAAAGCAGAATTTTTGCTCACAAGCCTCCTCAGCTTAGAGGGAGCATTGCCACCGAATGTTTTTAAAAAGCAGGGAGAGCCAGGTGGGCTGGCAATACAGATTGAAATGGCATCGCTTCAGTGGCAGTCTGGGTTGGAAAATATCTGGAAACTTTGGGGGTGGAGCTGGGAGAGGGCGGGGTCTGGGGAGGGGAGGGGCCTCAGCAGGGTAGAATGCCACAGAGTCCCCCCTCCAAAGCAGCCATTTTCTCCAGGGGAGCTAATCTCTATCGGCTGGAGATCAGTTGTAAAAGTGCGAGATCCCCAGGCCCCACCTGGAGGCTGGCAACCCTAGCCACAGTGTGTTTGTTTTATTCTTCCTTACCCCTCTTCCCCCCTGCTCTTGGGCTTCCTCTCTGTGTGTATGGCCCCGCCTCCTGTGACCGCCATTTTGTGTCAGAATTCCAAAGGCGTTGACAGGTTCTAAAAGGTTGGGGGGCTCCTGCATTAGACCCTTATCCCAGCTGCCTTACAAAGGTGTTCAGGGCACCCTTAATGGAAACGCTCTCCTCGTTTTATCCTTGTCACAGTGCTGTGAAGGAGGCTGAGAGACAGCATGCCTGACCCACAGGGGCACAATGGGGATTTGAACCGGGGTCTCTGCGCTCATAGCCTGACGCTCTACCAGGGGTGGCCAAGCTGCAGCTCGGGAGCCACATGTGGTTTTTCCACACATATTGCGCAGCTCCTGGCAGGGCGGCTGAGGAAGCGAAGGGGAGGCATGCCTTCGGTCTTCCCTTCCCCAGCCAGTGTTCCCCTCCCTGGGTAGGCTTGAGGTGTGTGTGTGTGGGGGGGGGGAGTAGAGAAAGAAAGCAACTTTAAATGTGTTCTCAAAGCACCTCCCCACCAGCTGGCTTGAAGAAGGCATTTGTCCCTTCTCCAAGCCAAGCCAACCGGTGTGGGAGCATGGGGTGGTGGTGATTGGAGGTTGGGTTGCCAAATGGGGACGGGGGCGGGGACTCCCCGCTTTGGAGGCCCGATTTCCACTGCGGCGGAATCGGGCCCCGGGGGGAACCCCGCCCCCCGAAGTTGCATCACCAGAGGTGACGCACGATGTAGGGCACGTTGGGGGCGTGGCCCAGATCGTCGGGGGGGGAACATATGGCTTCCCCCCCGACGACCTGGGCCATGCCCCCAACGTACCTGTGTCGTGCGTCACTTCTGGTGACGTTCTGGTGGCGCGTGCACGTCCCCAGCCAGCTCCCGGAGCAGAAGACGCTCCCTCCGCCGGTGAGTAAATAAGATTTGGCAACCCTAGTTGGAGGACACATTTAAAGTTGCTTTCGACTATATACTGGACTTGAGGCAGTGTAACAAGTGATTTCTTTATTTCAGTTCAGAACATAACAACAACAACCCTAGAACGATCCAACTATATACATTTTGAACTAGCGAGGCCACACCCCCTAGCCCAGTACTGTCCAGTCACATTTACAAGCTTAAGACCAATGGGATTAGTTCCCGCCGAAGGTCAGAGTCTTTCTGGATTGGTCCGTCACCCATCAGCGGCCAATCTGACTGCAGGGTTTAGAATACCAGAGAGTCTATGGAGCTTGTGCCTCAAGCTCCGGCGTAAGGTACAAAAGCAAATACATAACACTTTCTTTCCCTCTGTCCCTCCCTCCCCCATCTATTTGCTTTCTTTCCACCTTTCTTTGTTTCTCTCCCTTCTTTCCTCTTTCTGTCTCTTCTTCCTTCCCCCTCCCTCCCTCCCTCCCTCCATCTATTTGCTTTCTTTGTTTCTCTCTCTCTTTCCTTCTTTCTTTCCACCTCTCTCTCTCTTAGACAAATAAATATCATTGGGCAAATAAATATCATTATCAATATCTCCCCCCCCTTTTGTTTTTATTTGTGGCAGTCTCATGTAATGTTAATAAAAAGCAAATGTGCATATTTCTCAGGAAACACATGTTTACACATGTTTGTTCATGTCTTCCGGCTCTGAAACATCTGACATTTATTCTATGTGGCTCTTAACGTGAAGCGACTTTGGCCACCCCACTGCCTCTCAGGCACACCGGCTCTCTGTTCCAAAGAGGGGAGGGAGAAAAATCCACACAGCAACACCAGCCTGTGTCAAGAAGAGCCCGGATTGCTTTCTCGGCTTGAATGCAGGTGCTGGAAAAGACAGACACAAAAATGGAGGTAAGCAGATCTAAAAAAAAAAAGGTTCTTGTACCAGAACACGTCAAATTCCTGTAAACTGTTAATCACATAGTCATGTGCTCAAAAGCAGGAATTACCCTCCTGGCAGAGTAAACAGGTTAGTTGGGGTGAAGGGGAAAAAATCACCTGTAATCTTTGAACCAAACAGCGACCTAGCGGGACATAGAAAACGAATGCTGATGCACAGAGGAACTGGCAAGATTTCTCTAGCAATGAAAACACACACATAAAGGTTCGTCTGGGTTATCCAGCCATTTCCCCTACAAATGCAGCTACTTCAGAAATCTGCCTGATTTCTGAAAGCTAGAGTGGTGTGGTGGTTAGAATGTCAGGTTAAGGTCTGGGAGACCTAGCTCATAGACAGTGTTAGATTTCTTCTGTGATTTTTTCCCCTCTAACCCCTATTTAAAGCTGGCCATAGAACACAGACAGTCACCACATCTTGTGGCAGTGAGTTCCACAGATTAACTGTGGCTTGTGAGAACAAGTAAGAGCTTTTCTGTGCCCCGAACCTATTGCTAGTCCTCCTTTAATGGAGCAAATGGGCACAACTGAAGTCATCCAGATGCTTCTGCCAAACTGCTTAGTGAACGATTGGGTCCCCAATTGTAGCCGGTGAGTGGGACGCAAACTGAACCAGTGAGTTATTGAGCAGCCCTGCTGGCTTCCAAAAGACAGTACAGAAGGGGGGGGGACATAACCCTGACAACATCTTGCCCAAATTTGGGGGAAGGCACTGCAGAAAACATTGTACACCTAATAGACGACATCTGTAAAGAACGGAAGTCGAAGCAGGGCCTCAGTGGTGGTGACTCCACATAATGAAGAAAACTCAACAAAGGGAGAACATTGCCAGCAGCTGCCCTGGGCTGCTCACAATACTAGTTTAGTCCTGAGGAATAAAGTGCTATGGGTCCCATCCCATCTCCTGCCCCGCTGACACGGATATAAATCCCTGCAGATTATAACAGGGAAGATCCAGTTTTCCTATGCAAGCTCTGTGAAAATAAATGGGTTTCTTGTGTGGTGTTCGTCCATTTATCATATCAGAGGAGCCTTGGCTCACTAGTGGAGCACCTGCTTGGTGGGCAGAAGGTCCCAGGTTCAATCCCCAGCATCTCCAGCCAAAAGTACCAGGCCATAGGTGATGTGAAAGACCTCTGCCTGAGACCCTGGAGAGCCGCTGCCAGTCTGAACGAACAATACTGACTTTCGAATCTGCATTTGTCTTTCCCACCGGTGTCCCAGCCTTCTGACACCGTCTTTAAAAAAGCTGTCTACATTTGGTGTCGTTTTCACACCTCAACAATGCTAGCATACTTTTGCACATCCGCATATGTTTATTGCCCTTTCATGGCGGCTCCGCTGTCATTGCACCTCCACACTGCTTTAAAAGAATCTTCTCCAAACAACATTCAAACAAGCACAGAGAAAGATGGCGTCACTGCAGCATGAAACTGATTAAAAATGTAAATGCAGATTTGACTGAGAATTTCCCATTCACCCAACATCGGGTGGATGAAGCAGCCAACTTACTTCTGCTTCACATTTGCATAACTTCTGATTTGCCCCTCTAACCTGATATATTCTTTACTTAGTCTGAGGAGGAAGAAATGTGCAGGGAAGTTCTAGATTCTTTACAAATGCAAGCAGAGAGATTTCTCCTGTCTGCCGTGGGGCTTTCTGCCATCCGCTGTAATATCCCCAAGTTCCCTTTTTGGAGTGGTATAAAGAGAAGGATTCCCTTTCGGCCAGACTCATCCGGAACCACCATGAAAGGTCTAATTGTGGCGCTGACCTTAGGGCTGCTTATGAGCAACATCCTTCTACTCCAGGGTAAGTAACTTTGGTCTTACTTCACCGTTACTCACTCGGGCCTTAACCTGAACTGCGGTTTTGCTTCCAAATTTGTTTTTCATGCTAGAGCTCAACCTTAGAACCTGTGGTGTTAAGGATAAAATCAATATTATTTCTGAGCATGTGCAGAGAGCTTTTCCTACCAGCTGCATGTTTGGGGTTATACAGAAGTGCTTGCATCCTACCCCTCAGTTTTTTGCTATTATCAGATTAGGAGCAAACAGGGGTCCAGGCTCAAATCCCCATTCAGCTATGAGGTCCGCTGGGTAATCTTTGGCCAGTCACTCCTTCTCAGCTTCAGTTCCCTCAGAGAACACCTAGATTCGAGTCCAGTAGCACCTCAGAGACCAACAAGATGTCGGAAGTATAAACTTTTGAAAGTCCAAGCTTCCTTCATCAGGTACCAGTATCTGCAGGCCAATATGGCTCCCCTCTGAAATCACCTCAGACAGGAGTTGTGAGAATCCGCAGAGGACAGGAGAATCATTTAGAAGAGAAGAAGAAGTCTCAGAGCGGCTTACAAACTCCTTTCCCTTCCCCTCCCCACAACAGACACCCTGTGAGCCGGTGGGTGGGGCTGAGAGAACTCTGACAGAAACTGCTCTTTTTCAAGGACAGCTGTGCCAGAGCTTGTGACTGACCCAAGGTCACATCAAGTGGAGGAGTGGGGACTCAAACCCGGTTCTCCCAGATTAGAGTCCGCACACTTAACCACTACACCAAACTGGCTCTACACCAAATTGGATTTCCCATACTCCTTGAGGGAACAAGTAGGATAAATGTGTGATTTCATATACATGTGAAGCTGTGCTTGGTTGGAGAATGTCTTCCAAAGGGGTTTATGTCTTATTAGCATGATACCAACCTTTACACAAACCCGGGCTGAACTTTCATCCGCTAAATGAGGATTTTTGCTTTTGTGGCTGAAAGCTTCCTCTGGAATAAGATGATAGAAGGTGGTTACAAGATCCAGCCCCTTGTAATGATCTTGGAATTTTAAGCCTTCAAGTATGGTGAAATTATTTCTGCTCTTAAACTAAAGCACTTTTTAAAACCGTCTATTTTTACACCTATCTGTGGTTTACCATTTTGCTTCACTGAAATGGATTCAGCAGCCTGTCAGTGGACGGTGCTAGTGGGCTTTTTTTGGTCAAGTTCTCCTCACACTTGGAAGTTAATATAGACTTCCAGAAGAGTCACCAGATGTCCTCTTTTTAGAGGACATGTCCTCTATTTTGGGTGTCTGTCCTCTTTTGGACTCTTTTTAGAAAAATGAAAATGTCCTCTTTTTGGGTTGGAAGGTTAGGGATATTCCTAGTCAGCAGCAATCAGCTCAGCTGAAATAGTAGGGGGTCTTCAAAATGAGATCTGTCATAGTGATCACTTGTTTGAAGTAGTCAGTCGGGAAATATGTTCTCTTTTTTGCCTTTTCAAAATATGGTAGCCCTACAGGACCCGTGTGGACAAACAGCCACGCAGGTCTAGGGGGTGCAGTGAGAAAGGGGCAAAAGGGCAAGCAGCAGAAAGGATCTTGCCCCTTTTCACTGCAACTCCCCAACCCGCGTGACCACTTATCCATAAGGATCTTTCAAGAGCTCAAAAGGGACGGCATGAGAGGAAAAGGAAAACAGCAAAAATCTGTATGCCTTTCCCTGAGTGCACATTAGATCCAGGCTATTGCTATGATTTTTTGCCTTTTCTCGTGAAACGTGCGAGCAGTCCATCTCGGTGTAGAGGTAGTATGTCACAGTGGTTAGAGACCTGAGCTACGAAAGGCCTGATTTAAACCTCACCTCTGCCATGAACTCAATCAACTAGGCAGCCTTTGATGAGCCATTCTCTCAGGCCCGTAGCTACAGTGGGGGCATCTTGGGGCCGGGCCCCCTGACTTACCGCCCAGGGCCCCCCGACTTCCCATCCAACCAGTTTATCTTATTTTTCACGCACACCAGAACCATGCCATTCTGTGCCGTCGCCCTGCCCTGTCTGCCGGCAGTGTACCTCTGGCTGGCTGCGGGTGAGGCACTCCACAGGGCACGTCTGCTCCCTACTGTGGTTCTCCCTCTCCCTCGTTTTTTAAAAACTTTTACTCTCTTGTCACTCCTGACATAGTGCCCCCCCCGGACTTATTTAAATGCCCCCCGAAGTAAAAAAACACACCTGGCTACAGCCCTGCATTCTCTGCCTCAGCAGACAAGGGGTAATGACGCCATACCTGGCAGATGACATTCTGCAGACCGCAAAAAGAAGAAAAAAACTGTGAGGTAACTGCGCTAGATAATATTTCAATAATAATCACAAAATTGTACAAAAATGCGTGCAGAAAATTATATAAATATACAAGACAATAAATGATGTGTTGACGATGGTCTCCGGAATGCTCTATAGTTTCGATACTGTTCTTCTTCCGAGAATGAATGAAAACAGCGACTCTTGGTCTGTCTTTTCAAGTAGTAGGTATCAAAAATCCATAATATTCACCGATGTATCATGACTTAATTGCAAGAGTTTCTCTGACAGAAAGTTCCTGGGGCAAGGTGCTTGAGCCAGATGACATTCTGCAACCAGTTTTTGCTCAGTCTTTTGGGTTCAGGTTTCCAAATGCTACCGCCATCACTTAAGGCAGCTCCTCCTATGGACGAGCCGTGCAGCTAGCTCCAAGGACAAACCTTTCGCCTTGCTCACCTACAGGGATCAAATTCTCCCTTTCACACTTTTATGCTGTGGTCCAGTCCATCAGTTAGTTAATTTATTTATCTTATTAGACTACTAGCCCTCCCTCCCCTGTACCGCAAGGCTCAGGGTGAGTAATGACGAGTTAAGATCCTGCTCCCAGGTCGTGCTGTCAATACTCTAGCTTCCAGAGAGGAAGCAGGTGGCAGACCAGAGGCAGGGCTTGCTCCCTCTAAGCCAGTGACGGCAAACCTTTTAGAGACCGAGTGCCCAAACTGCAACCCAAAACTCACTTATTTATCACAAAGATCCAACACGGCAATTTAACCTGAATACTGAGGTTTTAGTTTAGAAAAAAACAACTCATACATTAACATAAAATGATCCAAACAAAGTAAGGAAAGCAATCCCAAATGCTTTCATTTACTTCGGCAGAGAATTCCACACTTTAATGACGGTCTGGGCCTGGCTGGGGCGATGGCACGCGTGCCCACATAGAGGGCTCTGAGTGCCGCCTCTGGCACGCGTGCCATAGGTTCGCCACCACGGCTCTAAGCGGTGGAGTCTTGTGAGCAAAAATTCTACTTTGTGAGCTACTGGCATTAAAGTTGTGAGCAAGCGATTTGGCTCCTGCATAAACTAGTTTGCCCTCTGGAGCCATCCTTCCTGAGCTAAGACAAAAAATGTGTCCGCCAGAAGCTAAAAAACTGTGAGCTAGCTTGTGGGGTCCTCTATTAGGGAGGACTGGTTTTCTCTTTAAATTTATACTTCGTGTTCATAAACGGGGTAGATTCGGCTGCCACCTGGAATTTAAACAAATTCCAAATCTTTTCTCATTAGCTGTTGGTAACGTGATCTCGCTTCTGGGCTTTTCAAGGGTCTCTGTGGTCCTGAGGAAAGATTTGAACTGAATTCTGGAACTCAAACAAAATGTGATTTATTGAATAAAATTTTAAACATAAATAAGTTGTTTCTTAACTATAACTGTTTAGGGGAAGAGAAAGTGGAAAATTTAGCTGTCAGGGTGTCACACACAGTCTTTGGTCACAAGATCCTTCTCTATTAAGAATCTCCTTTTCAATAGACCCTCACTCTGGCTAAGCTCTTTATTTTGTGCTTAGTTTTCTTTTAAACTTTAGGATGTCGCAGATCCTTCTTGTAACTCTTCCACATTTAAACTTTCAACAACATGTTTTCTGAACACTTCAGGTTTTCTCACAGCACTCTGTCCTCTCTCTCTCTGACAGACTCACTGACAGACTCTCATTCAAAACTCCCACTGAAGGGCTTCAAGACACACCTCATTCCAAGCAACCCCCTCCCACACTCTGCCATCCACCAATCACATCACACTAGTTTCTCTCAATCATTCTACTCTGCTATCACCGCACTCCAACCAAACATTTAAAGACACACTCTCGCTAAAAACAAGGAATCATTACATAGCTCACACTAACTCAGCTCAGAGGGAACACCGGTGGCAGCACACCTTTGGAATGCCGTCCTGCTGCCATCCGCTTCACCATCCTTTAGGCACCAAGCCAAAACATTTCTTCCACCCAGGCTTTTAAGCTGATGGGTTCCATCTTTCTGAACTATTTTTTATGTTCAGCTTCTAGCCTGTGGACTGCTTTATGGGTATCGTTTTAGAAGGCTGTGTGCTCTTTTGTGTGATTTCTTTGCCCTTGCCTTACTTTTGGATGGTTTATTCTAATACTGATAATTTTTTACATTGTTTCTGCTGCAGTTTGTACTTTGTGAGCTTCCTCAAAGGAATTTCTGGAGTATGGTTACCAGCTCAGGGTTGGGAAATATTTGGAGAGTTTGGGCTTTGAGGAGCAGACTTCAGTGGGGCCAGTTTGGTGTAGTGGTTAAGTGCGCGGACTCTAACCTGGGAGAACCAGGTTTGATTCCCCACTCCTCCACTTGTACCTGCTGGATGACCTTGGGCAAGCAGTAGTTCTGATAAGAGCTGTGCTTGAAAAAGAGCAGTTTCTGTCAGAGCTCTCTCAGCCTCACATACCTCACAGGCAGTGTCCCCTCTAAGCTGAGTTAGTGTGAGCTAGCTCACAGTTTTTTAGCCTCCAGCTCACAGCTTTTTGTCTTAGCTCAGGAAGGATGGCTCCAGAGCAGACTAATTTATGCAGTAGCCAAATCGCTCGCTCACAATTTTAATCCAAGTAGCTCACAAAGAAGAATTTTTGTTCATAAGGTGTCACAGGGTGTCTGTTGTGGGGAGGGGAAGGGAAAGGAGATCCTAAGCCGCTCTGAAACTCTTCTGGGTAGTGAAGGGTGGGGTATAAATCCAATCTCCTCCTCCTCCTTCATAATGCCATACAGTCCACCAGGGCTTTTTTGGTAGAAAAAGCGAGCAGGAACTCATTAGCATAATATGCCACACCCAGCAGCAGAAACTCATTAGCATATTAGACCACGTCCTTGACAGTGCAGCTCACTAGCCTATTAGGCCATGCCCCCATGCCTTCCCTGGGTGCCCCATGGCTGCAGGGAGCCCAGGCAAGCCGGCCTTTGGATGGGCCGGGGAAGGCACAGGGAGGCATTTAAATGCCTCCGCGATCCTTCCAGCCCACCCCCCGGGCTGCCCGCCTTGGAGTTGCCGGGGGGGGGGGTTTAGCTCTCCAGGCTCTCCCTCTGTAGCCACAAGCGTAGAGGTTTTGGCTGTAGTGGGCGTGGCCAACTCTGAAGCCAGACGGAACTCCGTTCCTGTGCGTTCCTGCCCCAAAATAGCTCTGCAGTCCACCTTCCAAAACAGCCATTTTCTCCAGGGTAAACTGATCTTGGTCACCTGGAGATGTAACCCCAGGAGAGCTTCAGCCGCCACCTGGAGGTTGCCAACCATACCCTGTAGGGGCAAACTACAGATTACCTTTCACTCTGCATTCTGCAAAGAAAGGAAACTCTGGCAAATTTGCTGAAGTGGAATAATTTATTCATATTTTCTCCACACAGACCATTCGTAATTTTAAGAAATGTTTAATGTACACAGCCTTTCTTTGCATGCAGCTTGGAGATTTTGGCACGCATCTGCTCCTTGTGGTCAAAGGTTGCAGAGACTATACCTTCCTCACTCACACTTGTACCAACAACGTGTCACCACTGGCCGGAGAGATCCAAGATGACACCCACGTTCAGCAGTGAAGCTTTCTGGGTGACAGCCAATGTTCCCTCTAAGCTGCATAGCCTTGTGAGCAAAAATGCTACTTTGTGAGCTACTGGCATTAAAGTTGTGAGCAGACGATTTGACTACTGCATAAATGAGTTTGCTCTGGAGCCGTCCTTCCTGAGCTAAGACAAAGATCTGTGAGCTGGAGGCTAAAAACCTGTGAGCTAGCTCACACTAACTCAGCTTAGACGGAACACTGGTGACAGCAGATCAGTTACACCATCTGAGCCTAGGCTACTTTGCAGAGGCAATTTGAGGATAAAGGTTAAATGAAAGGAGTGTATAGAGAAAGAGCGGCACCCCATTCTTTTTGGGTCTGTGGATACTCTGGGGATTTTGAGGATAGGGAGTGGCCGCCATCACAAAATGGCTGCCAGAGGGATGCATGACAAACCACAAAACTCGAGTTAGCGGTTTCTAGGTCTCCCAAGTCCTTACCAGCTGCCGGCAGGGGGCTCCTGGCTGGCATCAGAGATCTTCTTGCAGGAGCACTGGCCAGGATGACGTCACCCGGAAGTGATATCATTGCGTTGCCGACATCGGTGTGTGGGGGGGTGCTGCTTTAGCTTTTGGGCAAAACTCTATGCGTTGTTTGCCCTCAAAACCATAGAGTTTCCCCCAAAACTACAATGGAACCCCCCCATGACATTGGCAACATGATGATATCCAGGGGTCGTTTCGTAGAAAAAGAGCTAGGGGAACTCATTAGCATAACTCATTAGCCTATGCCACACACCCTGACATCACCGGAAGTGTGTCATAAGGCCACACACCCCGCCCCCAATAGTCCCGGCCACCGCCGGCCTTGCAGCTCCACTGCCGACCCCCATGAGGGGCCCGGCGGTGCACCTGCAAGGCCGGCGGGAGTGCAAGGAAGCCCCGCGAAGGCCCTCCCTGGCCCCAGGCAGGCAGGGGTGGGGAGAGGCAGGGAGGAAGCAACTTACCCTCCCTCTTCTCCTGCCTCCTCCTGGCTGAATGAGGGCCGGAAGCAGGGCGGCCGGAAGCAGGGGGCGGGGCTTCGTCATGTGCCCCGCCCCCATACCTCACCCGGGGGAACTGCGATCCCCCGCGATCCCCCCCGAAATGACCTCTGATGATGTCACTTATGGGTAATGTCATCGTGACAGGGCTTTTTTGGTAGAAAAAGCCCAGCAGGAACTCATTAGCACAATAGGCCACACCCAACAGCAGAAACTATTAGCATATTAGGCCACACCCCTGACAGCACAGCTCATTAGCATATTAAGCCACACCCCGCATGTTACCAGAAGTGTAGTCATCCAACTACACCCACCTTTTGCTTCTTATTCTGTTTACTTTGTTGTCAAAACCTTGGCCTTTTTTTGTAGCAGGAACGCATTTGCATGTTAGGCCACAGACCCCTAATGTAGCCAGTCCTAATGAGTGTCTGCTGTTGGGTGTGGCCTATTATGCTAATGAGTTCCTGCTGGGTGTGGCCAACTCAGGAGCCAGCCGGAACTCCGTTCTTGTGCGTTCCTGCCCCCAAATAGCCCTACATTGTGACAGGGACACTGCTGCGCCAGCAGTGGAATGAAGCCCTGAAAATCGGGGGGGAACCCCAGCCCGGACCGAAGGCTTGGCAACCCTAGTGGACTCTCTTGTACATATTCTCCTGCAGTGTCCTTTATTGTCTGGAACTGAACAGGCAAGGTTCAGCTTTCCCTTGCTCAAATCCTTGCTTCTACAATAGTCCTGCCCAGGGGTCGTTTTGTAGAAAAAGAGCTAGGGGAACTCATTAGCATAACTCATTAGCATATGCCACACACCCTGACATCACTGGAAGTGTGTCATAAGGCCACACCCACCACTCAGTCTTAGTCTTAATGGTTAGTCTTAAAGGTGCTATTTGTTAGTCTTAAAGGTGCTATTTGAACTCTTGGACTATTTTGCAGGAACAGACTAACACAGCTACCTCGGGGAAGCTCCTGGATTGGGTTGGGAGTCCTTGCAGAGGCCACGTGGAGTGGCCTCGGCCAGGCAGAGGGGGAGGACGCCAACTTACCCTCCTGCTTCTTCCTCCTTCTGCAACAGAATGAGGCTGGAAGCAGGGTGCAGCCGGAAGAAGGGGGCGGGGCTCCGTCGTGTGCCCCGCCCCCCGCACCTCACCCGGGGGAACTGCGATCCCCCGCGATCCCCCCCGAATCTACCTCTGGTCCTGCCATTTTGTCATACCAAGCCTTTGCTCCTTGTTTTAGTCCATAGAGTCCTTTGTTGAGTCTGTAAACTTAATTTTCTTGTCCTTTGACTGTGAAACCTTCAGGTTGTTCCATAAATATTTCCTCAGATAGTTCTCCATTGAGGAATGCTGTCTTTATATCGAGATGTTCTACAATTATGTGCTCCAGTTTAGGCTAAAATGGATCATGCCACGCCTTGATAAATGGACTGCGCTTCGTCGAGCGACATTAGAGCAAAAGGTTCAGTTCCTCTGAGGGGATTCTGATTCCAAATGTACTTATTTTGCTGCTCGGTTTCTAGAGGCTGCGAAGTAGTGTCGAGGGGAGGTGTTTTTAGACAATGCTTTTTATTTAAGTTTTTCAGTTTTATTGTTCAAGACCTTGGTCTAAGAACAGGGGATGAGAGTAAATTTTGCTCACGCAGACTAACCACAAAATGGCTGCCACGGGATGCAGGTTGGCTCCGAGCCAATCGTCACGCAACAGTTGAGACGGCTTACTCTGATTGTGTCCACAGGCAGCTTCCAAATGTGATACTTCTTGGGTTTCACTGAACGACCTCCTCCTGCCCCAGTGAGGTCGAGGAAAACCTGTACCGGTGGTTGGGCTTTGTCAAATAAGCAAATGGATGCCAGGAAACCCATCTGTGGCGCTCACACCGCATTGGAAATCACTGTGACAGAAAATGAGCATTGCCATCTTACGTTTGTTTGCAGGCCTTCCGATAGAAAGCCTTGTCGTTCACATGAGAAGATGCAAATGTGCCAAGCAAACCTCGGCTGCCGTCAACCTTTCGCACTTTAAGTCCGTTCAAGTGTTTCCTCAGAGTGTATACTGCCGAAGGAAGGAAGTCATGTAAGTCAAGGCCAGAGGCCTTCTCTTCTTCCTACTACTTGGTTTTGTTAAGAGCTCATTGAAAAGACAGGAGCTGAGGTTGAGTGATCCTCTTATGATGTTTCAGATTAATCACAAAAAAGGACCGGAAGATCTGTGTCAATCCCAACGCTGCCTGGGTTCAGGACTTACTGAAGATCTTGACACAGAGGTAATTTTATTATTCACTAGTCCCTAACGTGGTTACTTAGGAGGGTGTATATCACATAATACTTGGCACAAAAAATCCTGGTTCCAATCCAGTTCCAGGCACACCCAGCAACTAGTAGGCTCTAGATCACAATACGAATCTGGCTTTGTGGCGTCCTCTTATTAGGGAGGACTGGTTTTCCCTTTAAATGTGCTCTTTGCTTTTGTAAACGGGGTAGTTTCTGCTGCCACCAGGAATTTAAGGATTGCCAAACCTTCTCTCTGTTTCTTTTGCTGGCAAGGTGACCTAGAGTCGGGGCTTTTCAGGGATCTATGTGGTCCTGAGGAAAGATAGAACTAAATTCGGGGATAAACTTGAACAAAAGATAATTTATTAAAGTAAGAACAAAATATGAGGTTGGTTATTCTGTAACTATCTCGGATAAAGGGACATGAAAATATGTCTATCAACTGTATCACAAACACTGTCTTTTTTCCTTTACTTTTTGTTTGTTTTGACATTCAGTTCCAACATTAACAGGAGTCACTCTTTCTTCCTATAGTCAGCCACACAGGCTAAGGACATATATACTGCACTCTTTAAGAACTCACTCAGAACTAACTGAACACTCACTGACTTAACTCTCCAACTGAACAATTCCAACTGATTTCTAACTGTCTCTCATAACTGACACACTGACACAACCACACAGGTTCACTTCAAAAACCCCTCCCCACACTCTGTCATCCACCAATCACAGCACATTTGTCTCTCTCAATCACTCTAGTCTACTAACCATGCACTCCAACCAAGCATTTGAAGGCATACACACACTCTCATGAAACAAGGAATCATTACAGGCTTGCTTAAAAAAAAACATATAGCCGCTTCACTGGGGCTTCATGATCATTGCAATGTGGATGTATATAAAATCATACACACAAAATGTGTATCACAGGCACTTCTATCAAGGTGTAGAATTTACCTAGCTAGGCAGGGGCCAAGTTGCTAGACCTCAAGACACAATAAATGAAGAGATACCACTCTAGCCTTATACTGCTATAAAAAAGAGAGTTTAAAATTGCAGTAAAGAAATGCCATCGTTTAAAGGTGTAAGCAACTTTTACCACTGCCACTACCATTAGAAGCTGGTAAAGCTATTCCAGGAAACAGGGCCATTTATTTGCGTCTCTTCAAAGATTCTTCTTTCTGTTCACAACTCCAGGCTTTTCTTGGTCCTGTTCCTCATCCATTTGCTAGCAAGATCCTAGTTTGACTTGGGTTGGAGTTCACACAGCAAAAGCTTTACTTGCAGTCAAAACTAATGATTACAAAAAGAAAAGGCATCATAATTACTGAGCAAAGGGACAGCAAAAAAAAAGGTGATATACACAATCATTTTGAAGTTACCAGATATCAACTTCCCCCCTTTTTTGTGCAGGTTCTAGTAGTCAGGGCCAGTGTTCCCTCTAAGCTGAGTTAGTGTGAGCTAGCTCAGTTTTTTAGCCTCTGGCTCACACATTTTTGTCCTAGCTCAGGAAGGAGGGCTCCAGAGCAAAACTAATTTATGCAGTTGCCAAATCGCTCACTCACAACTTGAATGCCAAGTAGCTCACAAAGTAGAATTTGTGCTCACAGGACTCCACAGTTTAGAGGGAGCATTGGTCAGGGCTAATTCCACCATTCTTGAAGACTTTTTTTCTTTCTTCCTTGATGTGGTGGTGGAGATCACAAAATGAAAGTCCTTTCTGAATCTCTTGAGCTCCTTTCCTGGAATCCCCTTAACAAAACAATCGTGGGATCTACATGGACAAAAGCTGTGTAAGACCAGTGCGAGAGTAAGGAGGGAAATGGACAGGACTGAGTGAAAAACACTGGCTAAAACCACCCGGTATTCCTAAAGACAGGCTGACTCCCTCCAGTCACCTAAAAGGGTCTTCTCCGTGATCTAGAGATGTGAAATTTAGCAATGGGCACTTAAAGTCTCCCCCATAACTTGTTGGGGGGGGGGGGGATTCCAGACACCAGTCTTGGTACCCACACAATACAAAATCCAGTGGCATTTTTTTTCCAGCAGTAAGAACATTCTGAGTGGTGAGTCAGTGGGAGTACAATTTACTCCCAGCTAGTGTAGGGGCCAAACAAGGAGTTAGCGGCTATCTCAAGCTCGTCATTAGGGACACTGGCCACCATGCACTTGTGAATTTTGGGAAATTGGTGGAAGTCCTACAAGCTGTATGAAGACTCAACAACTTGATAAAGATATCGGTTCGAAACAGGCCCGTCGTGTGTAAAAACCTTGAAGTCTTCGTGCTACAGGGAATGGTTTTCTCTGTCCTTGCAGCATAAAGAATATGGCTCGGTCCCTTTAAGATTGTATTTCAGCAAGGGTTAATGTCCCTCTTGTGATTGTATGTCTCTTAATGTTATTACACATTTTGAACTTTACTTGTACTTTACAACTTATAACACTATAAATATTTTTGCAAAAAACAGATTTTGTTTCCACTTTTCAAGGTTGCTTTTGTATGTTTGGTTTGATCTCATTACTGGTAACCTCCTCCCTGCTTGTTTTGCTTTTTGCAAACAAGGAGTTCCAGCATTTGCAATTAAACCCCTTGACAGCCCACCCCACACTTTTTGCTTAAAAACAGAATACGGAAATACAATTCTCAGTAGAGAAGTGGGAAAGACCGAGCTGTTCCGGCAAGCGTTTCAATAGCTCAGACCACACTGACGGTTCTAGCACTTTATAACAGAAGGCCACCACGTCTTAATCTTAATTTAATAAGTGTATTTGGATATTTTATTGACTGTATTGTTTTAGACTTATATTGTATAAATTGTTATGTTGGTTTTAAACTATTGTAAGCTGCCCTGAGCCGCCTTGGCGGGAGGGCGGGGTAAAAGTCGAATAAATAAATAAATAAATAAATAAAGGGACCCACAGTCATTTCCCCACCACTCAATTTCCCACTGCTGAGGTCTCAGCTGTTTCTACCACATTTGTAGCATTCATCTGGAACTCTGCAGGGGGAACGTATCTAGAGGGAAGTTGTAGAAGAAAATGGCAGGTGACATTCTGGAGCCCCCTCCCTCCAGTTACTCCCGTTGAAGAAGAAGAGTTGGTTTTATACCCCTGCCCTTCACTACCTGAAGGCGTCTCAAAGAGGCTTACAATCCCCTTCCCTTCCTCTCCCCACAACAGACACCCTGTGAGGTAGGTGAGGCTGAGAGAGTTCTGAGAGAAATGAGACTGGCCCCAGGTCACCCAACAAGCCTCATGTGGGAGGAGGAGAGGGGGAATCAAACCTGGTTCTCCAGATTACACTGCTCTTAACCACTCCGCCACAATCACCTTCCCTTCCTCTCCCCACAACAGGCAGCTTGTGAGGTAGGTGGGGCTGAGAGAGTCCTGAGAGAGCCGTGACTCTCCCAAGGTCACCCAGCTGCTTTCACGTGGAGGAGGACTGGGGAATCAAACCCGGTTCTCCAGATTAGAGTCCGCTGCTCTGAACCACTACACCAAACTGACTCTCTGGGGGCTGCCTTTCAGCCATTAATTAATTAATGTATTAATCTCATTTGTACCCCGCCCTCCCGGCAAAGCAGGCTTTCTCTACACACAAATTTTCATATATGTAGCAGTGAGAACTAAGGAACTGCGGTCACCTGCTCAGATCTCCGCTCTGCCTTGAACTGATTAGGCGGCTATAACCCCAAGCCCTGTTATCTGCAATGGCAGGCCAATAATCACGATCCACCGTAGCAACGGCCGTTGTAAAGACTAATTTAGAACAGGGATATTCTGTCTCAGACACCTGCTCAAAGATTATCAAGATTATGCAAGTAGCATTTTGTAAACTCTACAGTATAATTTTGCACTACAGGAACAAAACAATACAATATAGAACTGTTTTACTGTAAATTGGCTGTTAGGGTGTATCCTTAAGTTCCTGTCACTTCTACTGTAAGCCGTTTATGGATATGCAATCCTTCCCCCCCCCCCCCACGAAGTTCTTCATAGGTATGCATTCTTTGCTTGCATCATGTTGCTTAACAAGTTTCCCTTTTTTTCTAAATTACAGACAATCGTAGTAAAGTGACCAGGACAGGAAGCCACAGATGAAGCCAGGAGGAACCAATTCAATTCACTCCATTGTTCCCTTTCCCTGTATCTGCGTTCTTTTCATTATATTTACTCAGTACCATCGCCTGAAATGTCTTTCCTTTTCTTAAGAGGGGTAAGCATCAGCAACTGATCTGAATTTTTAGGATGAAGCACAGGGAATGTAAATTTGCCTTAAAACAGGTTAAAACTTCTAGCTACTCCCGCTGCTATACACATACTTACCTCTTGCTGTGCATTTTTCTAAAATATCTCCATGGACGTCATTCCCAGTTTCTTGGTTATTTGTTGTTTATACATGGCAAAGCCAAGCAGATCTGTACTGTCAGTTTTAAAGAGTGAACATCCAGTGCTCATGATTGTAGATTAGCAAATTAATCTAGACCTGGAGTCCTTCTGTCCCAGAAACAGTATCCTTCAAAAAGCAGCCATAGTTCAGTGGTAGAGCATCTGCTCAGCATGTAGAAGGTCCCAGGTTCAATCCCCAGCATATCGAGTTAAAACAACCAGGCAGTAAGTGATTTAGAACACCTCTAGCTGGGACCCTGGAGAATTGGCAATACTGACCTGGGGTGGACCAAAAACCAGATAAGCTAGTTTCAATGGACCTGAGTTTATGCAGGCCTCGCAGCTAGGATCCCGAACTATTGTCAAAATACATGTTATTGATGCCTAAGAATTTACTAACTGCTTTGCTGGATCCCATGGAGCTGCAGTGGTTAAGACGCTAAACTGCAGGCTGTGGAAGGTCAGTAGTTCAGCAGTTCGAGACCCGGGTGCCGCATGATGGAGTGAGCTCCCGTCTCTAGTTCCAGCTCCTGCCAACTTAGCAGTTCGAAAGCAAGAAATTGCAAGTAGATAAATAGGTACCACTTCAGTGGGAAGGTAACAGTGTTCCGTGCGCCTCGGTGTTTAGTCATGCCGGCCACATGACCACGGAAACGTCTTCGGACAGCGCTGGCTCTTCGGCTTTGAAACGGATTTGACTAGCTTTCGAGCAAGGGAACCTTTACCTTTACCTTGCTGGATCCCACCCAGCATTCTCGTCTCAGCAGCCAGCCAGGTAGTCCTGAGAAGTTCGCCCATAATGCGAGGTTGTTCAAAATATAACCTCCATATTTAGACACAGTATAATATCACCAGTTCCCAGATAATGTACAACTGAGATGTATCTGTTTATTCTTCTGGATTTGCTTTCTTTCACTTCATTTGCAGCTCCCCTTTCTTGTTGAGATTCAAGGCCGCTGACAAAACATAGAAAACAATTCACAGCAATCTTTATTCAATAGGTCTACGCAGGCCCATAACCAGGATTTTGTGGCTTGTGGGGCAATTTTTTTTCCCTCTGGTGGGGCTAAAGTTCTCTGTGCAGAAAGAAAAGCCAGAATTCTGAGGGTTAGGACTTGGCTACTCTTCTCTCTCAAAGTCTTCTCAAGCGGTCTATTCTACAGAGGTGTTCTTATGCTAGCCATCACCCTTAGCCTGTAAACCATTTAGCCAAAAGAAAGCTGTTACCAGGATGGATCTCTAAAGTGCAAGCTGTCAGCCACTTTAGATGACAGTTCACAGCCGTTGCAAGTTAATCACTTCTGCCAGCCTAAGAAACAATTCTGACAACAAGCCAGCAGGTGGGGGATGATGATTCCTATAGTCAAGAAAGCTAACACTTAGGCAGAGAAACTCTCTTAAAGGAGACCAGTTTCTTGACACAGAGTTAGAAGGGATCCTAGAGGTCACCTCCTCCAACCCCCTTGCTCAGTGGGGGAATTAGTGAACTACAGCAACCCACTCTGCTTAAAGGAGCTCACGCCTTTAAAAAGAATGTGCAAAAATGATCTGAAAAAAAGCATTTACAGGAGAAATTCCTGTGGGGCTGTGCCTTTAAGAGGGGGCAGAGCCCCCCAAAGCCCCACCATAGCTATGGACCTGGGACAAGGACTTGTGTACATAACTGCATGTTCAAAAGTTTTCCTCTTCAGACACATCTACCATAAAGCCTTGTATGGACAGTGGCACCCCTACCCAGTGGCAATTTTTCAACTGAACAAAGGCCGAAGAATCAGAAACCAGCTTTGCCCCGGCAGTTCTCATGACCAGGTTTTCCCCCTCCCATCTGTTACCTACCTGGGAGAGGAGAGGGAAATGCAGGCTCCTGTACAACTGATAGGGCTGCCAAGTCCCCCCGGGGGGCGGATTTCCCCCCGCTTTGGAGGCCCGATTTCCGCCGCTGCAGAATCGGGCCTCGGGGGAAACCCCACCCCGGCGTGCACGTCACCCGGATGTGACGTGATGACGCCGGGCACGCTGGGGGCGGGGCCACAACCATTTCAGGGGAAAACAGAGTTTTCCCTTCAAATGGCTGTGGCCCCGCCCCCAGCGTGCCCGGCGTCATCACGTCACATTCGGGTGATGTGCATGCGGCGCGCTCGTGCGCTCAGGACAGCATCCGGGAGCCCCCCGCCGCAGGAATAAAGAGGTTTGGCAACCCTAACAACTGACCTCCCTCCCGTCAGGTTCCTGAGTCCTTCCGGGGACCTAGATAGCTGCAGTGAAGGAACGGTGGGGAATCCTTTCCCAGATCGGTCATGTTTGGCTCTCAATTTGAACTTGAGTAACTTCAAAGGGGCAAACTCTACACTGCACTGCAGCCATAGCTAACCACAACAACCCCAGCCCATCCTCCCTTGTAGAGGCTCCGGCCTGGTGGAACTCCCTCCCAAGTGAGATCAGGGCCCTGCGGGATTTGTTGCAATTCCACAGGGCCTGTAAAATGGAGATGTTCCGCCAGGCCTACAGTTGAGGTGGTGGGTGTCTCCCTTCCAAGCGAGATCAGGGCCCTGCGGGATTTGTTACAGTTCCACGGGGCCTGTAAAATGGAGATGTTCCGCCAGGCCTACAGTTAGGGTTGCCAAACCCCACAGTTTGCCAGGGGTCCCCGCCCCCAACACCCACAGCCACCCTTCTCTCTTGAGAGAGGGGGTGGCTGCCTTTAAGTTCATGGAACCCACGTTTCCTCCCAAGCCCCATCTCCGCTTGAGATCAGGCTTGCAGGGAAATGCCAGCGCCATGCACTTAAAAGGGAAATGCCGGCTCTTTGCTCTTAAAGGGGAAACGCCAGCTCCTTTAAGTGCAGGAAACTGGCGTTTCTGGAGATCGGGCACGCAGGCAGAGGGGTGGGGCGGGCGGGCAGTGGAAGTCCCCAACATGACATCATCACGGCGGTAATGCCCCGCCCCCTCCAGGAATGAAGTCCCCCACTGGGGGCGGAAGATGGACTTGGCAACCCTACCTACAGTTGAGGCAGCGGGTGTCTAATTACCTCAGCCTCCCCTGCTCTGCCTGGTATCATCTATGCTGTGCTGTTGTCTGCATTCTACCCACTTGCCCTGGATTGGTTTTTACTGTGTACTCATACAGATAATCTTCTCAGGGATTTTTATTAATTGTGTAGATCGCCCTCTGGTTTACTGCAGGCTTATATTTGTAATTACGTTTTAAAATTCCGAATCATGTATAATTACTGTTGTGACCCGCCCTGAGCCCTGCTGTGCAGGGAGAAGGCGGGCTGGAAATTCAATAAATGATTAATTTGCATTAGAGGAGTGACGAATGAATGTGAAAAGCCTCCCTCCCCCACTCTCCGGTTCCTTTCACTTCCAAAATACCTGAAACTGTAATGTGTGAGAAAACACACATTTGAATATCTGGTCATCTTAACAGCTATGCTCACCAAAGAACAAGGTTGCACAGATGGGTGGAAAACTCCCGTCTTGCTCCAGAGCAGTGTTCCCTCTAAGCCGAGTTAGTGTGAGCTAGCTCACAGCTCTTTAGCCTCTGGCTCACACATTTTAGCTCAGGAAGGACGGCTCCAGAGCAAACTAATTTATGCAGTATCCAAATCGCTCCCTCACGACTTTAATGCCAGTAGCTTACAAAGTAGAATTTTTGCTCACAAGACTCCACACAGCTTAGAGGGAGCATTGCTCCAGAGTTTTGTTTTTTTTTGGTAACAAAAGGCCTATCAAATACATTTTTACCCCAGTCTTTCTACAAGGAGCTCAGAATGCAGTAGGTAGTTCTTCCACACCCATTTTATCCTCACAACTGCCCTATACAGTTGGGTCAGGCTGACAGCAACTAGTTCCAGAAGACCCAGTTAATTGAATGGTGACGCAAGGATTATAATCCAGGTCCGAGTCAAGTATTCTAACTACTATATCCTTCTGGCATCTGTGTCCTAACGACTGAGCCCGTCCTTTCGTTTGGTTGAGAGCCTGATCCGCAAATTATAAACTGCTCCCTCTTGTCATTGGCTCCTTTTATTATGCAATAGTGTTAGAAGGAAGTCATCTAAACACATCCCCGGTTGACTGCCCAAGTCAAGAGTTTAAAGAATATATTTCAGGTGGCCAGCTGTACTGATCTGCAGGAGAAGATGAGTGCAGTAGAACAATAAAGACCAGTAAGGTTTCCAGGGTATAAGCCTTTGAGAGCCACATACACACGAACACACATCAAACTGCCTTATACTGAATGAGAACCCTTGGTCCATCAAGGCAAGTATTGTCTACTCAGACCAGCAACAGCTCTCCAGGGTCTCAGGTTGAGGTCTTTCACACCACCTACAGCTCAGAGTCTTTTTAACTGGAGATGCCGGGGATTGAGCCTGGGACCTTCTGCATGCCAAGCAGACTGGTCTGCCACTGAGCCACAGCCCCCTCTATAGCTCTCCAGGGTCTCAGGTTGAGGTCTTTCACATCACCTGCTGCCTGGTCCTTTTAAATGGAGATGCCAGGGATTGAACCTGGGACCTTCTGCATGCTAAGCAGATGCTCGGCCACTGAGCCACAGCCCTCTGCATAGCTCTCCAGGGTCACAGGCTGAGGTCTTTCACATCATCTACAGCTCAGTCTTTTTAACTGGAGATGCTGGGGATTGAAACCGGGACCTTCTGCATGCACCGTCAGGTATCTGACACCCTGGAAATCTTGTTGATCTCTACTGGATTCAAATCTTGCTCTTAATATGTTTAACCGAAGTAAATCTCACGCTTATATGCAAAAACAAGGAGGTGGGGGTGGCTGGAAGAGGTGAAAATGGACCAGGTACAGGAAAGAAGTGTGCACGCATATGAAAGCTGATACCCAGAATTAAACTTGGTTGGCCTTAAAGGTGCCACGGGACTCAAACTTTGTTCTGTTGCTTCAGACCAACACATGGCTACCTACCTGAACCTATCTTAAAAAATTAAAGTCGTATTTGGGGACTGCGGCCATTAAAACCAGGGCTATTTTTGGGCAGGAACGCACAGGAACGGAGTTCCGGCTGGCTCCCAAATTGGCCACGCCCAGCAGGAACTCATTACCATAATAGGCCACGCCCAACAGCAGAAACTCATTAGGATTGGCTACATTAGGGGTGTGTGGCCTAACATGCAAAGGAGTTCCTGCTACAAAAAAGCCCTGGGTTTTGACAACAAACAAGGTGAACAGAATAAGAAGCAAAAGGTGGGTGTGGCTGAATGACACTTCTAGTAACATGGGGGTGCGGCCTAATGTGCTAATGAGCTGTGCTGTCAGGGGTGTGCTCCAATATTCTAATGAGTTCCTGCTGTTGGGTGTGGCCTATTATGCTAATGAGTTCCTGCTGGGCTTTTTCTACAAAAAGAGCCCTGATTATTAAAACTAATCACTTAGCTTTCTCCCGAAGACACAGAGCGTGTGCGCGCGTCCCAACGTGCCCTGTGTTTCATCTTAGCAAAGGCAACACCTCACTGGTGGACACTGATGGCAACACTCAGAAACTTGGCCCCCCGTCACACAGGAGGCACCACGTATGGGAAGTGGTGGTTCCCCAGGGAGGTAAACCCACAAAGACACGAGCAGCCCCCATGTAGGTCACTGTGCTCCCAACAAGGATTCAGTGGTGATGTACAGATCCTTCTGTGTGTGTTTGGGGGGTGGGGGCGTACCTGTGAATGTTTTTAACCCTAGCATCTGGAAAATAGCCTTTATGATTACTCAAAAGAAAGCCAATATACATTACGTAAGCGTTGTTGTCTTGACCTTGTCAAGAGCTTAGAAATTAAGTGGGGCCTGTCCTGGACAGTATTTGGAGGAGAGACCAACGAGGAATACCAGGGTTGCTATGCAGAGGCGGGCACTACTAAACCGTCTCTGAATGTCATTTGCCTTGAAAAACCTACAGGGCTGCCATAAGTCAACTGTGACTTGATGGTGGAGGGAGGGAGGGAGGGAGGGAGGGAGGGAGAAGAGATTGGATTTATATCCCGCCCTTCACTACCCAAAGGAGACTCAGAGTGGCTTACAAACTCCTGTCCCTTCCCCCTCCCCACAACAGACACCCTGCGAGGTAGAAGAAGAGACTGGATTCATACCCCGCCCTTCACTACCCAAAGGAGTCTCAGAGCGGCTTTCAAACTCCTTTCCCTTTCCCTCCCCACAACAGACACCTTGTGAGGTAAAAGAAGAAGAGATTGGATTTATACCCTGCCCTTCACTACCCAAAGGAGTCTCAGAGCGGCTTTCAAACTCCTTTCCCTTTCCCTCCCCACAACAGACACCTTGTGAGGTAAAAGAAGAAGAGATTGGATTTATACCCTGCCCTTCACTACCCAAAGGAGTCTCAGAGCGGCTTTCAAACTCCTTTCCCTTTCCCTCCCCACAACAGACACCTTGTGAGGTAAAAGAAGAAGAGATTGGATTTATACCCTGCCCTTCACTACCCAAAGGTGTCTCAGAGCGGCTTTCAAACTCCTTTCCCTCCCCCTCCCCAAAACACCTCCCCTGTGAGGTAGGTGGGGCTGAGAGAGCTCTTTCCAGAACTGCCCATGAGAAAACAGCTCTGAGAGAACTGTGGCTTGCCCAAGGTCATCCAGCCAGGTGCAAGTGGAGGAGTGGGGAATCAAACCTGGTTCTCCCAGATCAGAGTCCGCTCACTTAACCACTACACCAAACTGGAAGGCAGGCATGCTATTTAAAGGGAATTTGAGGGGGGGGGGGAGGTCACACACCAACGAGAAAGGGTAGGTGGACATGCCTGATGAGTACACTAGCCACAGCATGCAAAACCCTGACCTTATAAAGTCCTTTACGCACATGCAAGCAAAGGGATGTGCTCAGGCAGTGGGGCTCCTGTTCTTACTTGTGTTGAATAAGCAGCCTTTTAGACTGCATCAGAAAATGCTCTTTAAAAAGAGCAGTTTGCAATGAGGCAGTGGCTCCATTTGGGACACTCTAAGCCCCAACCCCTTTCCCCACACTGTGCCTCTCTCCTCCTGCTTCTCTACATTGGGGCTACCACTTAGAAGACCTGTGCCATTTAGAGAGTGGTGGTTGTTGTTGTTTTTAAAGAGCAACAACAAAAAACAAGTGACACCGGTTAAGAGAGCTAGTTTGGTGTAGTGGTCAAGTGCGCGGACTCTAATCTGGGAGAACCGGGTTTGATTCCCCACTCCTCCACTTGCACCTGCTGGATGACCTTGGGCAAGCCGTAGTTCTGATAAGAGCTGTCCTTGAAAAAGAGCAGTTTCTGTCAGAGCTCTCTCAGCCCCACCTACCTCACAGTGTGTCTGTGGTGGGGAGGGGGAAGGGAAAGGAGTTTGTGAGCCGCTCTGAGACTCAGAGTGAAGGGCGGGATATAAATCCAATCTCTTCTTCTTCTTAACAGAAAAGTCATATTGAAAGCAGGTGTAAACCATCTCAACAGCATCCCTCCACCAGAACGCCCAATGTAACTACAACTAAAACAGAACCAAAACAACTTAAAACTGTTCACAATGTTTCCTAGTCTTTTTAATTCACTCCCCCCCCCCCAACAATATTACAAAAGATCGTAGTTTTTTTTTAAAATTTATTTAATAAACCGGCTCCTCTGCAGTTCATATACAATCACAGGCGAAAATTTTTTTTAAACTCCATTTTATACAAACATCTCAAAAAATATTTGGGAGTGAAGTATGGTAGGAAATATTGCTCACATTGCTAATTAACATGCACGTATGAAGAGGAGGAAAGTTGTTAGTGCATACCTCCAGAGCAGGAAAGAAAAAACGAATGCCTCTGAGTGAAGATACAGTAGATGACTGAGCTTCATCCACAGGGATTTCTTCGGTGCAAGTCCCAGTGAAAAGAACAGGGGCTGCTAACTCCTGCCCATTTTAATGGCGCTGGCACCGGAGAATGTCCCGGTGGATCGTGCCCTTACAAACAAACCGACAACAACAAAAGAAGGTTAATGTCCGCAAAATTAAGTTTTTCATGCTATTCTACTTTTCAGTACTATATTGTAATTATTTTTGTCAATTTTATGTTTCTGTACAGACACACATGGCCGTGTATGCAACACTTTCGAGGTATATAAAAAGAGATACCTGCACCAAGATTTTTTTTTGGGGGGGGGGGGGAGAAATGTCATCTTTAAAAGGTGAACATTTGACCGTGCTTTATAAGCTACTTACATCAAAGGTGGAACTACACATGTATTAGAAAGACGGGACTGCTGCTAAAAAGGGCAGCCCTGAGGTCAAGTTCTCCTGCTTTTCCGTCTAGAGTAAAATCCGTCTCAGGTCTTGATGGCATTATGTTGAGCGTTCACCGACCCCTGCCAGAGGCATCCCACGGTAAGGGGGTGGGGCTGGGGGGGGGAGAGAAAGCACCTCACAAAGGCATCATGACGGAAGACGAGCTCTACTCAGCGATGCAGGAATGGACAGGGAAACTTGACACGGGGCTGCCGGAATTAAGCGGCAGCCTTGTGGTCTTTGTATATTGTAGTCCCATCATGGATTTCCACACAAACGCAACCAGTTCCAGCAGAGGAAGACAAACCCTTCTCCAGCTACAGGCACTTTTGAAAGGGAATTGCAACCTCCGCTGAAGAAACTGTTGCAGTGTATCCCCCACCCCCCCACACCCAATAAAGAGGGAGTCTTTCTTACTATCGCCTGATTAAATTCCCTTGATCGTTTTACATATAGCTAGCAAGCCGGGGAAGAAAAAGAATGGCTTTACGGAACACATTTTTACACAACAAGACGATTGGTGCCGAAGTTATTTTAAAAGTAATTCAAACCGTTTCGCTTTTTCCTTTTTTTTAAAGGGTTATGAAATGAGACAAATATAGGCATCTTTAAAAAAATTTCATTCACATAATGGAAAAAAATTCTCTCGTTTATTAAAAATATCACCTTTTTTGAGACTAGAAACAGTAAAGTGCATGAAAAGTTTAAAATATAAGCTCAAGGTCTCTCAATATAGCAGCAAAGAAGCAGAATACAGGAAAAACTTAACAGACACAACCTTGGGTTACTGTGCCTTTTCTTTTGCTGTTTCGAGTGCAAAGCAAGGGGTTTGCCCCACCAAAGGCCTCCAAGCTCAGCAGCCCCGTCCCTCTGAGTGGGCGGTCAGGGACACTCCCCCCCCCAGTCCCACTGAAACGAACGGAGGTTGCTGATCTGCAGTCACAGCCTTCCCCACCCCCCACCAAAAAAAAGATGGCATTATGATTTTCTGCTCTCCCCCTCTCTCTCTCACGAGGCACAATGCTTTTGAAATGGCCACCTGCAGCACGGAAAATAAAGACCTCCAACTTAAAGAGAAAATTAATAGTTGGGAATGAACCAGCAGCTTAAAAAAATAATAATCAAAAACCAACCTCAATAGAAAACAGAAAACAAAAACGTTAAAAAAAGATCTTTAAAAGCATGAGATGGTTTATTTGGCGACTAGGGACTAGGGTCCGGAAAAAGAAATCTGAGGAATAGTTATGGCTACCGCTTACTCACTTGCACATGGTGGGGCGGGGGTGATGCACACAGAAAAAAGCCAGTTCTCAGGCATGGAGGGGGCCAGAAGCCAAGTGGCTTCCGGCGTCTGTCTCCTCCCCTCCGGGCTGAACAATTGCAAAAGGTGGGGGGGAGGGGGAGGAAAGGGGAGGCACTGTGATTTAAAAGTAAAAGAGGGGACCTGCAGATTGTGGACTCCCAACATGTGAGGATTCTGATTCTGGCCGCTGATTTTAAGTATGGTATTCCAGCACTCCCCCCTCCCCGTTGTTTACAATTTAAAAACTTTTCTCTCCTATCCTGCTATGCAGCTTCTTTCCTTTGGGGAGGGGGGGGGGTTCCCATCAGATTCAATTTCTTTTCCTGCTAGGCCTCTCAAAAACCAGTCCAATTCCTTAAAATAAAAATAATGCAAACATTTTCCAAAAGTTTTAATAAGTGATATTGCTACCGTGCTGTTTTTGGGGTGAGGTGGGGGGACCGGGCCAGACAAAGGACACCCCCCCCCCATCAGCTACAGCAACCTCTACTATGAACAAAGTGAATCGGCAACATACACAGTTCACGATATCGCAGGCTCATGGGTGCAGAAGCTCTCCTGCTTTGTACAAGTGCCAATTTATTTTGACGGGGGCCGTACAGGATGGCGCTTCCATAGAGCAGCAGAGACTGATAGATTGGCCCTAGATGAGAGCCACAGGCAAATTCTCTGTAGGGAGCGGCACATTTCCCCCTCTCCTACGGCAAAGTAACGTCTAGGTCTAATGTCCACCTTTGGCTTCCTAAATTAATCTAACATTTTGGTGGTGGGGAGACAGCACGCTCTATGGTCTTCATACATTATTAAGTGCTCCGATGACAGCATTTCCTATTATAAACCTTTCCCGGAAAGACCCATACATCAATTGTATCTAAACTATCTCTGGATGCATCTTTAAAAAAAAAGAAGAAGATCAAAAACAAAAAGGGCAGCTTGGGAGAGAAAGGGATAACTTGTCCAGGGGGGAAGGGGAAAAAAAGCATTAGCTGTGGATGTATATGTATCTGCAAATCTTCCCGGCTGATTTGTCCATTTATAAAGGCAGCTTTCCCAAGGAAACAAATAAAGCCTGCCAGTTTAAAATATATAGATATAGATATATATATATAGACAGAGGGAATCTCTTAAAAACAAAAAACCCGGAAAGGGAACAAACAACAACTTTGGTTCCAGCCCTAGTGCCAAATGGTACCAATATGCACCCCCAAAAATGTGCAAAAGTCGTATCATCAAAACACATAATGAAAAGGAGCTCGAAGCAGCAGCTTTTTTAAAATATTTGCCATACTTCACTCCTACATACTTTGATTTACAACTGTACAGGTCCATAAAACAGACAAACAGGTCCCGGCCCTCCAAAGGGGGGGCAGGGCTCCACTACCTCCTGGTAGGCAAGTGGATGCCGTTGACCGGAGGCAGGAAGGGAGGGTGGAGCTCAAGCTGTGTCAACAGTGAGAAGTGGTCGGAAGGGATGTGGGGGTGGGGGCACCCGCTGATGTTGTTGTCCACCAGCCACTGCGTATCCAGAGGGCCCAGGACGCCGAGCACGTTCATGTGATTATTGGAATAAAAAATGTAGTCAATCACACCCTAGAGAAAGGAAAGACAGGGATTGGGTTGTATTATTATTATTATTATTATTATTATTATTATTATTATTATTATTATTATTATTATTTTGGATTTGTATCCCGCCCTCCCCATAACGGGCTCAGGGCAGGTTCAAACAATATAAATATAGTACAACGATATCAATACGGCACCATTAAAACCATGTTAAAACATATAAAACAGTGATGGCGAACCTTTTAGAGACCGAGTGCCCAAACTGCGACCCAAAACCCACTTATTTATCGCAAAGTGCCAACACGGCAATTTAACCTGAATACTGAGGTGTTACTTTAGAAAAAATAACTCATACATTAACTTAAGATGATCCAAACAAAGTAAGGAAAGCAATCCCAAATGCTTTCATTTACTTAAAATCATTTGGCAGAGAATTCCACACTTTAATACGGTCTAGGCCTGGCTGGGGCGATGGCACGCGTGCCCACAGAGAGGGCTCTGAGTGCCACCTCTGGCACCCGTGCCATAGGTTCGCCACCACTGATGTAAAACATACAACTCTTATAAAAAGCCAATTGCCTCAGTGGCTGTTAGCGCTGGGAATAAATTTCTCAGAAATCTGTACAGTTTAGGATCTCAGATGCAGGCCATAAAAATAGGGGCCGACCCAAGCTGTAAATGGGGCCGACCCAAGGAGGAAGGGGGACGCCCGCTGCCTCAACCGAAAGCCCGGGGAAGAGCTCCGTCATGCAGGCCTTGCGGGATTGTAATAAATCCCGCAGGGCCCTGACCTCATAAAAGCAAAGTAGCAAGTCAGCCCCCTAAGAACCATAGAGATAGACAGTCCTGGAATTTGAAGGGGACTTACAAGCCATCTAGTCTAACCCATTGTGGGACATCTGAATCTAGAGCTTTCCCAACATGTGGTGGCAGCATCTAAACTGACGTCAACTGTGTTTTTCTTTGGCTCTTGGCCCAAAAAGGGATTTGTGCATTTATTTATTTATTTACATTTATAGTCCATGTCATGATTTCATGTTTTAGTGTGTGTGTTTCTTTAAATGTTTAGTTTGACTGTAGTAATGTAAGGAGAGTGATAGAGGGAGATGAGTGTTATGTGATGGGCTGATGACTGAGAGTGTGGGAAGAGGGGTGTCTCTGAGGGGATTCTGTGTTTTTGGAGAGACGAGTGTGGAGGGTTTTTGAGTTTATCCTGTATGGCAGAAGAAGCAGCCGCAGTCTATCCTGTGTGGCTAAGGCTGTCAGAGTTTAGCCTGTGTGGCTAAGGTTGTCAGAGTTTAGCCTGTGTGGCTAAGGCTGTCAGAGTTGAGCTTTGGTGTTTTGAGAGACAGTGTGTGACGCCAAGCTTTATCAGTTATATTTATAAATTCATTTCTTCAACAACAGCTCAAAAATACCCAGAAACCTATTTTGTTCTTTTATAAATAAATCATTATTTGTTTAAACTTATCCCAGCAGTCAGAACAGTCCTTCCTCAGGACCACATAGTCCTCTGAAGTGCCCAGACGCAGGGTCATTCAACCGTAATAGAGAGATCTGGAATTTTTAATTCCTGGTGGCAGCAGTAATCTACTAAATTTATGTGAACAGAGTGTGTTTTAAAGGAAAAACAGTCTCCCCAGTAAGGAGGACGTCACAGCCCACCTTTCTCACAAGGACTCAAGGTGGATTACAACACACCGAGTCAATAAAAAGCGGGACATTCAGTAAACTAATAAGATTAGGATTGTAGATGTCTGGAACTAACCAGAAATCTAACAGACTGAAATGAAGCAAACCATAAGAATTCACATGACACATTAAACACTGCAAAAATTACACAGTGGGATCTCTCTTACAATACACTGTACAAAGTTGTATATGCATTCCATGTGTTAGAGAGACATGTGATCAATCACTGGTTTCTATATGTTCAATTGGAGCGTACCATTTTTCCCCACCTCTTCTGAGGGCTAAAGGTGTAACTGACACCAGCTCCACCCAATAAACCACCTCATCTATTCTACCCTCCGGAGAATCTTTCACAGGCAATAGGCCTTAAGAACAGGACCTGAAAAATCTGTCTGAAGACCCCCCCCCCCCCGAGAGGGAAAGCTGCACCCTTCCACAGTAATTGGTTGTCAAACTGCTCTTATGAAGTTTCTCCTAAAGTTTAGCCAAAATCTACCCTCCTGTAACTTGTACATTAGATCTCGTCTTGCCCTCTGGGGGAGCAGAAAACGTCATTGCCCTTTTCCATGTCACAGCCCTTCAAGTATCTGAAGAGCATAATCCATCTATTTTGTCCACTTTTAAAGAGAAACACTGCATTTGTACCTCTTGTAGAAATACAGCAGGAAGCAGAGGGTCCAGTGGTCCCATCTACACTTGCAGAAACTCACAAAAGGGGACGTTTTTATGGTTTGTTTATGCCTTAGAGAGGGGTTTTTTTTTTTTTTTTGCTCTTTTTCCCAGTTCTGTAATCCTACTGCATTGTTTATTAGAGGTCTATCGAGTCTAGAATTTTATCTCAGCTAAACTGGCGGACTGGGACTGCCTCCACCAAACTGATACTTACTTTGAAATCAAAGGTGTAATTTGTATAAGGCATCAAGTTGTTTTCATAGGCGCTCTTGAGCTGGAAACCGTGCGTGATCCTCCCTTCCGGAGCCCCGTTCTTCCCGTTACCGCTGAAGTTCATGAGACATTCGTTGTATCGCAACTCCTTGAAGTCTTTGTGGTTGTCAGCTACTATTCCGTTGCTTAGGTATTCCACAACGCCTGTTGTTTTTTTAAGAACAAGAAGATGGTCAGTGTACAGCATATGCAGAAGATGGTCCTCTGTTTAATCCCCGGCATTTCCGGGTAAAGAATCTCAGGGGACAGGGACTGGGAAAGACCTTGGCTTGGGACCCTGCAGAACTGTTCAAAAGCAGGAAATACTGAGAGCTGGACAGACCAGTGGTCTGACTATAAGGCAGCTCCATTTGCTTAGTGCAAGCCAGTCTGAATTGTGTGCACATTTAGGTGAAGAGGAAGGTAAACGTTTTCTCAAAACTTAGGTCCACACAGGAACAAATCCGACACAGCAATTAATAACGACAATTTGATTATAGTTTAATGCTAATATAATTGGATAGACTCACATTAGTAATGAGTGATGTATATCCAGACGGAACCTTTTATGTTTGCTTGTTTGGTTGTTTGGGTTATTGCTTGCTTGAACTCAATAAAAATGGAAATTTTCTTTAACACTAGTTACGTAATCATTTGCCTAATAGTTATTGCCACTGGGCCCATCACTGAAGGTATTTAAGTCCTGTTGGCTGAGCTTGCACCCCCCTGTGATTATTTGCTTAATGGCCGGATACACCATGTAATTTATCACTCTCCTAGTTACATGCAGAAATTCCCCTGGACAAGCAACTCCTTGGCATACGATACTGGCGCTGCAGGGGGCACGTGCTTGCCCTATGCCACTTCTCCCTCACCACCACCACCACGCTTTCTCGCTCTGTTTAGGGCACAGAGCCAGAGTCCAGGCACTCGTTCGGGCAAAACCACAGCCTCAGGCACGTGAGACAACGCCTTTTCCACGTAGGTCATCAAAACTTCTGGGCATGCTTAGGACTAAGCTGTAAGGCTGCAACCCAACACACGCGAAACGTATTTCAAAACAGCCTCACACTATTCTCTTACTACACTGTCGTGGCCATAATTCGTCTGAATTTGCTTGGTGAACTGTGTTCTCCACCTATACATCAATCATTTTCTATCACAGGCTGCGCTTTATCCTTAGATACAGGAAAGCCATTCAGAATGACTGAGGGGGGGAATCCCCCTTCAAATGGGCAGATGAAGATTGGTTTCTCTCAAAGAAACAGCCGTACTATTTTAAAATGGCAAGATTAGAGTCCAATAGCACCCCGAAGAGCAGCAAGATTTCCAGAGTGTGAGTTTTTGAGAGTCAAAACTCCCTTGTAACCTGATGAAGGGAGCTTTTACTCTCAAAAACTTACACCCTGGAAATCTTGGTCTTTAAAGTGCTCCTGGTCTCAAATCATGCTCTTCTGCTGCAGATCGACAGGGCTACTAGTGTTCCCTCTAAGCTGAGCTAGTGTGAGCTAGCTCACAGTTTTTTAGCCTCTGGCGAACCCATTTTTGTCTTGGCTCAGGAAGGACGGCTCCAAAACGAACTGATTTATGCAGTAGCCAAATGGCTCGCTCACAACTTTTAATGCCAGTAGCTCACAAAGTTGAATTCTTGCCCACAAGACTCCACAGCTTAGAGCAGGGGTGGCCAAACTGTGGCCCGGGAGCCGTGTGCGGCTCTTTCACACATATTGTGCAGCTCCCGGCAGGGCGGCTGGGGAAGCTAAATATCATTAGCAAACAAATATCGTTGGACAAACAAATATCATCAATATCTGCTTTTACTGCTTTTGTTGTTATTTTTGGCCGTCTCATTTAATGTTAATAAAAAGCAAATTTGTATATTTCCCAGTATGTGTAATATCTGTTCATGTCTTGCAGCTCTCAAACATCTGACGTTTATTTTATGTGGCTCTTACGTTAAGCAAGTTTGGCCACCCCTGGCTTAGAGGGAGCATTGATGGCTACCTACCTGAAACTATTTTTAGTGTGTCCCTTTTAAAAACAAAAAGGAGGAGGAGGAGGAGGAGGAGGAGGAGATTGGATTTATACCCCGCCCTTCACTACCCAAAGGTGTCTCAGAGTGGCTTACAGACTCCTTTCCCTTCCCCTCCCCACAACAGACACCCTGTGAGGTAGGCGGGGCTGAGAGAGCTCTTGACAGAAACTGCTCTTTTTCAAGAACAGCTCTGACAGAACTACGGCTTGCCCAAGGTCATCCAGCAGCTGCAAGTGGAGGAGTGGGGAATCAAACCCGGTTTTCCCAGATTACAGTTTGCGCACTTAACCACTACACTCCTTTACTGCATGGTAAGAAGTGTGCCTGCACACGAGAGCTGATACCCAGAACTAAACTTTGCGGGTCTCAAACTTTGCTCTGCTGCTTCAGACCAACACGGCTGCTCACCTGAATGCATCCTCAGCAGTCATTCACTAAGAATGTCTTTAACATCAAAGGACAAGAAAGTGCATATCAAAATGCCAATTACGTACAATCCCTCCCTGCTTTTTAAACAATCACCAATATATTTTTTTAAAAGCATACTCAGTATCTCCTTTTTATTCTGTTTGTGAAACCCTGGCCTTTTCCTAAATTTTCCACCTAGATTGTCTTTCTTTTTAAGATGAGTTAATTTAAATGGAAATCCCCCAGCCGTTAAGCAATAGCTTCACACTGAAGAACAAATAAACACAGATATTCAGTTTGCAGCTCCTTGCATCACCATCCATCCACTGAAAAAGTGCACTGGCCCCTCCCCCACAGGCATGCATGTATGGGGGGGGGGGACAAAGAAACAGGTTGAAAACTTCATCTCAGCCTTTTTCAGTGGACAGATGGTGATGCAAGGAGCTGCAAACTGAATCTATCCTCCCTGCATTTGTGTCACTGGTGACAGATGTATTCCCATCCAACATGCAGTTTCAGTCCCGTTCTCTGGCCTGCAGGAAAGCGACTTGGTGGTCCCTATAAATGGACACGGCATGACTGCCTTACTCTACTTCCGCTGTCTCATGACTGGGGGGTCTGTTATGACCATTTTCTTTACTGCCTCCCCACACACTCGAAACTGACTTGGCCTTGCCAATTCAAGGAGCGCTGCGGCCCTGGGGAGTCCTGAGGAGGCCCGTTGCTGCCTCCTGGGGCCCGCACCAGAGCGCTGCAACCCCGGGGAGGCCCGTCGTCGTGTTTCCGGGGCTCACGCTGGAGCGCTGCGGCCCCAGGGAGGACAGAGGAGGCTGTAGCTGTGTTCCCGGGGCCCGCGCTGGAGCGCTGCGGCCCCGGGGGAAGGCCAGAAGAGGCCCCCCGCCACCTCCCGGGTGAGGGATCCCGGGGGGTGGCGGAGGCTTGATTGGGGGAGTGGGGGGGATGGGAGAGCCTCTCCCCATCTCTTTGCCCTCTTTCTTTCCCGCCTTCCCTTCCCCTTTCCTTTTCTTTCCCTCCTTTTCTTTCTCTTCCTTCCTTCCTCTCTTCTTTCCTTCCTTTGTTCCTTCTCTCTACTCTCTCTCTCTCTTTCCTCCTTCTGCGGCCCAATTCTAAAGTTTAAACCCCTTCTCTCTTTGCTCCCCCCACCCCTGGCTAGGGAAGGGGAGGCTTTTGAAGATGCCTCCCCCCCTTTTGCTTCCCCTTCTGACACCACTTCCGGTGATGTCAGGGGGTGTTGCTTATACTAATTAGCCATTATGCTAATAGCATAGTAGCTCATTAGCATACCGTATGCTAATGAGCTCCTGCAGCTCTTTTTCTACGAAATGACCCCTGATAGTGGCTTTTTACATGTGGCCACTGAAGTATTTGGAAGTGATTTTGACCCAAGACACTTCTTCAGTGACTAGTCCTGACAGTAAAGTTTACCTCAGCAGACCAAAACTGCTAAAATAATTCATCTTAATTTCTCCAAGCGCTTTGTTAATTCCTCTTTTTTCCCCCCATCGTTACATCTGACTTATGGCAACCACTAGTGAGGTTTTTAAGGCAAGAGATGTTCAGAAGTGATTTGCCATTGCCTGCCTCCGCATTATGGCCCTGGCATTCCTTAGAGGACTCCCATCCAAACACTAGCCAGGGCTGACCATGCTTAGCTTCCAAGATTTGATAAGACTGGGCAGTAGCCTGGGCTACTCAGGTCAAGGCATAGTTAATTCCTTCACAGACCTCCGGCAATATAATCTTATTCTCAAGACCAGCACTACAAGTCTGTGATCCTCTCTGCACTTCTGGAGTCCTGTTCAGAACAGTGTTATCATTCAATTCTGCCCAAAACCTGTGCCAAAGGAGCCCATTTTACTGTCTACAAGGAATTCTAATCACCCAGCAAGAAATTCTCCTTTCAGACTTCCAAAGTAAGCAGGAGGAACAGAGTTGTCACACATTCATTAACAGCTGCTCCCTCCTCTATGGAAACAGCTACCACGGGTTATAATGCACTCTTATCGCTTCTAACCTCTCTCCTGACAAATTTAATATAATAATTAAATGCCGTCAAATTGGAACCAGCAGGTGGCTGAACCCCATATGGAGTTTTCAGGGCAGGAGATGTTCAGACGTGGTTCGCCGTTGCCTGCCTCCACAAAGCAACCCTGGTCTTCCTTAGTGGCCTTCCATCTCAGTGCTAACCAGGGTTGACCTTGCTTAGCTTCCAAGCCCTGACTAGATCAAGCTAGTCAAGGCTATCCAATCAAATTTGCATCACCAAAATTATTAAACATTTTAAAAAGTCATGCACTATCTTGAGCTTTCCATTGCGGTACAGACCACGTAAGAAAAGAACATTTCCCACTATCTCAAACCTTGGTGGAGACCACATCCAAGCGTATTTATTTCTAACTAATAAAACCAGCACATCAAATTTAAAGGCAAAGCAGCCATTTCTAAATACCTGAATCAGGCAGTGAGTTCAGATCCGCACACAGCACCAGAGGGATGGAGTTCAAATCTGCTGTTGGGCTTCCAGGCCTGCCGGAGGCTTTCTCAAGGATACTTTTCAATTCAGAGACAAACATCATGGTCTGGACAAGTTTCACATCTGAATATTCAGGGTCCCAATGCATATGGGCATTTGCTATAATAAGCAGCTGGTTGTCCACTGTATGAAGCGGCTTCATACCTGAAAGGCAAGGTGGCAGCTGTTGAAACCCCCACGTTCACTCGGCTCCCCGCCAGACGCGGAAGCCATCCGAAAGACAAACACAAATCAACCCTTCCTGGATAGGCCATGCTGGCTGTCATGGCCTGGCGGCATGGTCTGAATGGACCAGCACCTTCATGAGCTCTGGAACCATACACCCCTACATTTGTAACGACGCCAGTGCCCATAATGAGATACCATAATGAGATATGGCATGCAAAAAGTCCCAGGTTCAATCCCCGGCATCTCCGGGTAAAAAAGGGCCAGGCAGTAGGTGATGTGAATGACTGAGACCCTGGGGAGCCGCTGCCAGTCATCTCCAGGTTAAAAAAGGGCCAGGCAGTAGGTGATGTGAATGACTGAGACCCTGGGGAGCCGCTGCCAGTCTTAGACAATACTGACTTTGATGGACCAAGAGTGTGACTCAGCAAAAGACGCTTTACGTGTTCATGTGCTTCCTGAACACCAAGCATTTTCTATCCATTTAGATCTTGAACAACACCTACCGACTCCAAACAGTTCTTTGTGCACCTCTAACACTACAGCGACTCCGATGTTGTCCTTCGTCATTACTCTGTTCAACATAGCTTCTGAGCCTTCCGAGTTCGCCATTGCCACTTGGTTGAACTCAACCGTGTGCTTCTGCACCACCGTGAACCTGAAACACAGAAACCAGAGTCAACGGCCATTCAAGGCATCCTCCCATTAACGTCCCCTTTCCCTTTAACAAACTGTCCCGAGCCTACTGACACACTTTCCTGCACAGAAAGTTACCATGTGAGTTGTGTGGAAAAGAGGAAGAGCATGACCACACCCCAGAACAGTTGAGCTATCATCAACTCATCAACATCCCAAAACTGCCTGGTTCTCCCGGGCCCTAAAGAAGCCAGGTTGGCCGCAACGAGGGCCAGGGCCTTTTCTGTGGCGGCCCCTTACTGGTGGAACAAGCTGCCGGATGACATCAGGGCCCTGCGGACCTTTTACAGTTCCGCAGGGCCTGTAAAACGGAGCACTTCTACCAGGCTTTCGACATCAACATCAGTACTAACTCGACGAATAACAGCCTGGCAGGAGCCCGGACTGTGGTGGTAGGTGACCGTTCCAAATATTGAGAGAATGCCGCCACCTTTTATTAACATCTATGTTCTGAGAATTTGCGATTTTTATATGCTGCGATTGTGATTCTAATTTAATTGGGTTTTAACATACTCCAGTGTTTTACTATATCTATCTATCTATCTATCTATCTATCTATCTATCTATCTATCTATCTATCTTGTGAGCCGCCCTGAGCCCGCCATGGCGGGGAGGGCAGGATACAAATTTAATAAATAAACTCCCATTTTGGCATCCCTGCAAAGAAAGAGGTGCTATTGTTAAGTCTTAACGCAAGAGTTCCCTCGCTATGAGCACCACAGTGGCCATTCCTCACAGGCTTTCTGCTGATCTTTCGATTGCTTATTTATTTGTGTTATCCTGCTTTTCCAAAGCTCAGAGCAGCTCAGGCGGTACATGTTAAATTGCTCCAATATAACACACCAATAATCCTTCCCGAATTCTAACTCTCTGCTTTTATAAACCTCTCTCTCCAAACATGACCCTGCCAAATATGTCACTTTGCTTTTTCAGAGTTCTCCAAGAAGCCATGTCTTGCAAACTTTCTGAAAAGTTTTATGGGCTGGTAACTGCTGGATTTCCTCTAGTGTTCCGTTCCACGACTGGAGAAATGTTACTCCCATGGAGACTGACTGTACTTCTCACTGAGAGAGACCCGTGTTTACTGATGACAGTTTTGACTGCTTGCTAATTTTATCCTGCCACTAGCTGTGCTGGTGGGTTTTTAAAAAAGGATTACTAAATGCTTATTATTTCTTTTTGTTTGCGATTGTGTTTTACCAGTCTTTGGTCATCAAGCAAATACATGTCATCAAATAAATAAAGAGTTCAAATACACAGTTAAGTGCCTGTGGTTACCTGTGGTAAACAAGAATTGCATCCAGGCAGAGCAAGTTTTGAGACATGGAAAAGAGTCAGTTGGGGGTTTGGCCCTGTACCAAGAAGGACCAGTAGCATGTTCTGTCAATTAGGTTGCATGGTGGATACGAGTAACCAAATAAGCACAGGGGGGAAACAGATGTGCGAGAATACTGAATCCAGCAATGTAAGCCTTCCATGTAATAACATAAAGCTATTTCAGGACAAACAAGACATTCAAGCTACATGTATCATCCGCAATTCCTTCAAGGCTATGTCTCACCTTTGGTGAGTTCTCCCATTCCCAACTGTCAGTGCAGACAAAAGTTTAAAATCACTTATGTTTACAGAAAGGGAAGACAAAAGTGACTAGCAATATAATGCCAATAATATAAAAATACAGCTTTTTCTGTGAGTGCTGGGAGTTTTTTTCATATTGTATACATACCCACACATGTGTGTGCATGTATGTGTACTTGGGCTGCCAACACCCATGAGGTAACTAGAGATCTCTTGGGATTACAACTGATCTCCAGGTGACAGATATCAGTTCCCCTGAAGAAAATGGCCACTGTGGAAGAGGAGGAGATTGGATTTATACCCCGCCCTTCACTCAGAGTCTCAGAGTGGCTGACAGACTCCTTTCCCTTCCCCTCCCCGCAACAGACACCCTGTGAGGTAGGTGTCAGCCCCCAGAGAAACCACTCTTTACTCAATATTCCTTGAGCAAGGTTTATTAGTAAGATTTGGACTTCTGTTAAGGTCAACGCCTTTGTTAGGACTAATGAGCATAAGCAAGGGATCGCTAATTGGGGAAGGGGGCCCACCTCCCAAGCATACGTCACACTCACCCACATGCGTTACTATAGGTCATGAAAGAATATGCGACCCTGCTAGCTTAGTCTAAAGTCTTATCTCTCCCAAGGACACAACGCCAGTTGTACCTGGGAACAGTCTGGGGCTGCTTCGGGAGAATTACGAGCTGTGCCTCCTCACACCTCCACACGCTCATTCTCACACTCTTCCCCCCCCCCCAGGAAAGTCAGAGAGGACCGATAAGGGCAGGGAGCAAAGCCAGATGTGCAAAGCGGGCAGAGTTACAAAAGCAGAGGCGAGCGTTAATATCCTGGGTGCCAGGAGGGCGGGGGATCCGGGGTACACAGCCGAGTAACATCATCAATATAGGTCCGAGTCTGACAGTAGGTGGGGCTGAGAGAGCTCTTTCCAAAACTATGGCTTGCCCAAGGTCACCCAGCAGCTGCATGTGGAAAAGCGGGGAATCAAACCCAATTCTCCCAAATTAGAGTCTGCGCACTTAACCACTACACCAAACTGGCTCTCTAGGTGGACTCTATGGCATTACACCCCACTGAAGTCCCTTCCCAAACTCCACCCTTCTCAGGCTCCACCACCAAAATCCGCAGGTATTTCCCAACTTGGAGCTGCCAACCATAATGTGTGTGCATGTGTGTATCTATCTACCATGTCTGTCTGTCCGTCCATCCAAACATACCCATTTCACACCCTCTTCACATCAATGCAAAAACAGATGCCGATTTATGAGGTTTCATGCTTCAAATCTGGGCAATTCAGCAGCACCCCCTTACTTTTCTGTTTTGAAGAATACTGCACAACCGTCCACATGCTTCCGCTCCTGCTCGGACATGATTTTGGCACGTGACTTTGGAGAGAAAAATCCATCGTATCCACGCTCTTTTAATGCTGGCAGAAAGAGGGTGAAGTATTGCTCAGTTTCTACTTCCTAGAAATAAACACAACATGGCGTTGGAGGGAACCGTACTGAGAAGGCGAGACCGTCTTTTGCCTCTCCCCATTTCTGGGAGGAGGCATGGCGCAGGCTTCTCCCGCATGGCCTAGGCCTTCTCGTGTTTCTCACGGGCTCCCGTGTCACAGAACAATTTAATAAAGGGGCCAATATAAAGCCCTCGCCAAAACGTTTTAAACCTGCTTCCGGGATGAGAGATCAACTCTTTCTTGCAAGTGCCACATTGATACCATAGGAGCTCAAGTACATCCTTCCCTGCTTGGTAGATATCCTGGTCAATCAGATCCGGTCTATGCTTGAATGCTACTTATAGATGAAAAACCACTGGCGTCAGCACATACTGTGAAGTTTTGTGTGGCAGCTTGTAGAATCTGCCACACACTGATAGCTTAAGTTTTTACATATACATATTATAGAATTTTAATAATTTTACTGATCTAATTTTATTTGATTTGTACTTCCCTGGAATTATAAGATAATTTATGCGTGGGAGTTAATTTTAATTATTCCTCTTACCCGTTGTGGTGGTTAGGAATTCTGCTGAGATTTGTCCTGGTCTATGACTGTACTAATAAAGACTTATGAAGACAGGTGCTGGCCGTGCTCTGTGGGAGAAGTGGAATCAATGTTCCACATGTCTTTTCGCTGTCCTTTTCATCAGGTTTATAGGGATAAGCTTATTGCCCCCCTCCTGGATAGACCAGCACTTGATGCAGATAGTGCTGATCTAGAGAGACTTCTGATAGAGGCAAATCAGCAGATCTCCAGACAAATAGCAACTGCTGGCAACTGGTAAAATTTCACAATAAGAAGCAGATCAAGCAGAATCCTCATTTGCCTTTTGTATGACTCATAAGTAGTTTAGTTTTGAACATCTTATAATTATTTTGATATAATGGACTGTTAAACTTTTCTCCTTTTAACTTTTTTATGATTTTAAGGTGATATGTTTATTTTTAGAGCTGAAGGCTAATTTGCTTGTATTTAACGAACATGTATTATTTTGATAAATGGTGTTTGACCGCAAATAAACATCATTCATTCAAAGACACTGACTTGGAATAAAGACTTTGAGAGCACAACTCTTTTTTGCAAGTGTGGTATTCATACCATAGGAGCTCAAGTACATCTTCTACTAATTTCACATCATGCCATGCTTGAAAACAGAAGGGTGCCCATGTGGCTCACTAGGTAGCATATCAGCCTAGGATCTGAAGACACTGTATAACTAGGAGCCTCACTAGGTGATTTCAGGCAAGTCTCTCTCTCTTTTTCAGCCTAACCTACCTCACAGGGTTGCTGTGAGGGCAAAATGGCAGAGGAAAAGACCACCCTCAGCTCCTTGGAGGAAGGGGTAGAGATAAGGCTGCAAGAGATAGACAGGAAGGATTATTCCCAGTGTTCCTCAAGGGAAACGAGAGCGCGACATTTTGATGCCATTACCTGAAGGCTAATGATATCTGCATCCCAGTTAACAATTTCTTCCATGATTCCCTTTTTCCTGTACTCCCAGTTTAACGCCCAGGACGGGCAGTAGCCATAGAGCTGTCGGGTGGCATATTTATCACACAACACGTTGTAACACATGACGGTAAACGAAGCTGGAAGGAAAAAGACAGCAAGCATCTAGTGACTGGTGAAGGCAAAGAGACTGTACGCTTTTCAACAGTAGCATCCCTGCCCACCTCTTTCAAAATGCTGCACTAAGGAGCTCTCTCGGTGTAAACTATAAAAAAACAATTAACAAATTGCACTGCTATTTAAAAAAAAAAAATCCTCCAGAAAATCCAGTAACTCAAATTCACTTCAGTTACCATATTTCTTCTGCATGTCCAAGACAGCCACTTGTTTGCAGAAGAGGCTGATAATTAACCTCTGTTTCATTAGCTGGTTAACTGCTTTGTAAAAGCAACAGGGATGTAGCTTTATTTGTCTGAGAAAAACTGCAGATAGCCCCCTCCATTGTTCTTTGGATGTATTATAATGCCTTATACTTCACTGTTCCGTAATCGTATAATCTAATTTCATCGCTTTACTTTATCGTATGTATCATAACAATCTTTATTACACTGCTTTATAATCTGCCTTGACTCTCAACAAGAAAGGTGGGTGATAAAGTTAAATACAAACAAATTAAAAAACCCAGACCTTAACACCACAGTATTGAGTATCCCTCCCCACCAATTACAAGTAAGTCTCTCTGGGATCTAGTGCAGGGATGTCAAACTCATTTGTTATGAGGGCTGGATCTGACATGAATGAGACCTCATTGGGCCAGGCCAGGTGTGTCATAAAAGGTAATGCCAGGTAGTGGAGATATAAACTTTATAACGGACAGAAACACAAAGATTTTTTTTTAACTTAAAATAAAAACATGCCTAAAACATTAGCTCTGTAAGCTGCAAACCTACTTTTGATTTATTGACATTCACCACAGAAATCTCATGCTCAGAGTTCTGAGTCTAGGACCCAGGTTAAAACATGAAATGGCTGAGTGATTAAGAGAGACTGGCGAAGCAAGCCATGATGCAGCAGCAGAAGCAGAACTGGAAGCAGGAGATGGCTAGTTCTGCTGCGGGCCTGATAGAAGCCCTCCAGGGGACTGATCCGGCCCACAGGCCACATGTTTGACACCTCAGATCTAGGGAATAGAATAACTGCAAAAAGGAGATATTTTTGAACAGATATTGCCTTGAAAAACAACCACTGGTACAGACACTGATTCATACCACGTCATCAACCTTCCGGTTAAGATACCTGAAAGTATGGCTTTGTAGAAAAAGCCCAGCAGGAACTCATTTGCATAATAGGCCACACCCAACAGCAGAAACCCATTAGCATATTGGGCCACACCCCGACAGCACAGCTTGTTAGCATATTAGGCCACACCCCCATGCCTTCCCTTGAAGGGAAGGGAAGGCAGCTTAAACTGTCTTCCCTTGGCTTGCCTGAGTGCCCCACAGCTGCAGGGCGCCCAGGCTAGCTGGCCCTTGGACAGGCCAGGGAAGGCACGGGGAGGCATTTAAATGCCTCCTCAATCCTTCCAGGGCCACCCCCCAGCCCGCCCGCCTCGAAGTTGCCGGGGGGGGGTCACTCTCCAGGCCTTCCCTCTGTAGCCACGCACGCTGAGGTTTTGGCTGTAGTGGGCGTGGCCAACTCTGAAGCCGGCCGGAACTCTGTTCCTGTGCGTTCCTGCCCAAAAATAGCCCTGGCTTTTTGTTGCTCACTTTGTTATCAAAAAAACCCAAGCCTTTCAGGGCCCAACTGCAGATCTCAAGGGAGCTTCCTGCTCTCTTTCCTCACACCACCAGGAGAACAACAGTGTTGGGGGAAACATTCATGATGGAGAACCCACCCAGAGTTGTTAAGGCACGGAAGGGAGGGGCAGAGGAGATGACAACTGTGGTTAGAGATAGGAGACCTTCAACTTATGGTTCCATGATGGAAGGCAGGCAGAATATATAAGTACATAAATTAATTTAAATGGAACCAACACTGCTTGTCCTGTGCAGTCTTCAGATGAGGACATGAATCACCAAACCCTGACTGCTTTTCTGGCAAGCAATTTATTTTCAAGCAATACCACCTTTTGTTAAGAAAAAGAATGACCATCTCACCTAACCGTCTAAGAAGAGCTAGATTCGAGTCCAGTAACATCTTACAGACCAACGAGACTTTATTTTGTTTTATAAAAATAAAAAAAACTTGGCCTCCCCTGCTGAAATTGAAGCCGATCGTCTCAACGCGGCCCAGACCCATAAGAACTTACAGACCCAATGGCACTAGCTTGAAATAATGTATATAATGAAATAGTGCAACCTGTTCTGTGTTTTCTCTTTTTAAATCTATGCTACTTTACATTGTTTTAATTATTCTCTAAATTCGATTTGTGTGTTTTAGATTCCTACCGTGATCCGCCCTGAGCCCGCTTGCGGGGAGGGTGGAATATAAATTGAATAAACTAAATAAATAAGCTTTCGAGAGCCATAGTTCCCTTAGTCAGAAATGTATCTGATGAAGGGAGCTGTCACTCTTGAAAGTTTATACCAGGGGTGGCCAAACTTGCTTAACGTAAGAGCCACACAGAATAAACGTCAGATGTTCGAGAGCCGCAAGACATGAACAAATATCACACACATTTTTATTTTTAAAATATGCCTATTTGCTTGTTATTAACATTAAATGAGACTGCTAAAAAACAAAAGGGGTTAAAAACAGATATTGATAATGGTATTTATTTATTCAATGGTATTTGTAGGGGGGAGGGCTTTGAGAACGCATGTAAAGTTAAAAGCTGGTTTCTTTTTCTGCTCCCCTCCCCACCTCAAGCCTACCCAGGGAGGGGAACACTGGCCGGGGAAGGGAAGATCGATTGTTGCTTCCCCAACTGCCCTACCGGGAGCTGCACAATATATGTGAAAGAGCCGCATGTGGTTCCCGAGACACAGTTTGGCCACCCCTGGTTTATCCCCCGAAAATCTTGTTGGTCTCTAAGGTGCTAGTAAAGGTAAAGGTTCCCTTGCTCGAAAGCCAGTGGAGTCCGACTCTAGGGTTGCGGTGCTCATCTCCGTTTCAAAGCCGAAGAGCCAGCGCTGTCCGAAGACGTCTCCGTGGTCATGTGGCCGGTATGACTAAACACCAAGGCGCACGGAACGCTGTTACCTTCCCACCGAAGTGGTACCTATTTATCTACTTGCAATTTCTTGCTTTCGAACTGCTAGGTTGGCAGGTGCTACTAAGGTGCTACTGGACTCCTCTCCAGCTCTTCTACTGCAGACTAATACGGCTACCCCCTCCTGAAACTATCTTCCGGCTTAGAAGGTTCTTAAGGGCTGCGGTCACACACACAAAATAATCCACTTTCAATGCACTTTCCATCTGGATTTTGCCAGATCACACAGTAAAAATCCAGTTGGAAAGTGCATTGAAAGTGCATTGAAAGTGGATTATTTTGTGTGTGTGACCGCAGCCAAGGTATCTCAGAATGGCGCAGTTCCTACAAAAGCACTGAGCAAGGTTTGCAGACTTTCTGCGGCCTAAAGAGCCTTCCTCCAGCAAAGAGACATTTACATTGGAGGAGGTTCCTCCAGACTAATAAGCAAGAAGAACTACACAAAACACCCAACTCCGACACGGCTCACGCAGCATCCAGCAAGGGGCAAATACACGCAGAAGGAAAGAGCGATTCCTATTTCTGTCCCACGCAGCTGCTCAGCTACACTGACACAAATAAAGTAAGTCACAGCGGTGCTGTGTTTTTGTGGGCTGATAAAAGTCGCTGCACATCAGAAAGACCGACTGTGACTTGAAAAACAAAGAGTTCCGACTTCTAAAAAAAAAATCTCCCATTTCCAGCCTCATTTTCTTTTTGCACATTTACATTTTTTAATCCACCTTCGCAAAACATATGTGGTTCTTCCTTCCTTGTTTTTATCCTCAGAGCCACTCTTGTGAGTCAGGTCAGGCTAAGAAAGCAACTTCCAATTAAAAGTCAAAGCCAAGGAGAGCCTTTCTGGAGGCACAGAAGTGGCATGATGTCTCAAACTCCATGTACGGCATTAATGGAAAGAAGGCTGCGTGTTTTACCTGAGGGCAGAATTTGGTCTCGTTCTTTTAATGTAATCCATGGCCTTGGAGGCAGCTGCTCTGGATGAACTGAAACATTAGAAGACAGCAAGCATGAGCGACAGGGAGAAGCCACACAAGCATCTCCGAACTGAACCACGCGATGGTTGGATTCCGTATCATGCGATAGAACTGGGGAAAGAACAACTGGACGGAAAAGCAGGGACTTCAGATAACACTGGACCAGAGTACTCTTTAGACTTTAAATATTTAGTTGCCACAGAAGATTCTGGAAGCTCAGACAGACATTACTTTTTACAAATAATGGATGCATATTGCAGGCTACACTGCCCTCCCCGTGGCAGAACTGGTGCATCTGCCAAATAACTTCTCCTTTGAGATCATTTCTTAGTTTTAGTGAGAATTCAATTTGTTTTTACTACGGTTTGGGAACAATTATGCTCTTCTCTTTTGGAGACTCACACAGTAAACCTCTGAACCCCCAGAGCCAGGAGGCAACATCAAGGGAAGGCCTTGGCCTCTATGCCCTGTTTTTTTGTTTTTTTTAAAAAAATTTTTATTTTGCGTTTTCCAACTTTTACATATAATCATATTGCAGTTTCATACGTTTATGGGGGTTAAGTCATCTTTTTTCTTCGTACCATTTTACAACTTTTTGCCATTTCAAATTAAATTGTTCCTCTGATTTAGAAGAAGAAGAAGAGAAGAGATTGGATTTATACGCCGCCCTTCACTACCCAAAGATGTCTCAGAGCGGCTTACAAACTCCTTTCCCTTCCCCTCCCCACCACAGACACCCTGTGAGGTAAAAGAAGAAGAGATTGGATTCATACCCCGTCCTTCACTACCCAAAGGAGTCTCAGAGCAGCTTACAAATTCCTTTCCCTTCCCCTCCCCACCACAGACACCCTGTGAGGTAAAAGAAGAAGAGATTGGATTCATACCCCGTCCTTCACTACCCAAAGGAGTCTCAGAGTGGCTTACAAACTCCTTTCCCTTCCCCTCCCCACAACAGACACCCTGTGAGGTGGGTGGGGCTGAGAGAGCTCTGACACAAACTGCTCTTTTTCAAGGACAGCTGTGCCAGAGCTTGTGACTGACCCAAGGTCACATCAGCAGGTGCAAATGGAGGAGTGGGGAATCAAACCCGGTTCTTCCAGATTAGAGTCGGCACACTTAACCACTACACCAGACTGGCCAACGCCATATTAAGCTTATCCATCTCGATTACTTCATAAAGAATGTTGGTCAAATCATCCCTACTCGGTAACTTATCAGACTTCCAATTCTTAGCAACAGCTATTCTGGACATTGTGATTACATATACAGTGATACATTTCTCATTGAATTTAAGCCCATCGGGTGTAACATTCAGTAAAAAAATTTTCAGGTAACAGCGCTAAATCTCTCCCTGTAATTTCTTTTATCAACTGCTTAATGGTTTTCCAAAATTTTTGTATTTTTTCGCATTTCCACCTCTATGCCCTGTTGTTGACCTCCAGAGGAACTGGTTGCTGGCCGCTGTGTGAAACAAGATGCCGGATTAGATGGATCATGGGTCTGACACAGCAGGGCTCTTCTTAGGTTCGCACACGGTCTTAGAAAACAGCTGTATTTTGGTGGTGGAAGGTGCCGTCAAGTTTTAACTGATTTACGGTGACCCCTTCAAGAGGCGATTTGCCATTGCCTGGCTCTGCGTCACAACCCTGGCATTCCTTGGTGGTCTTCCCATCCAAATACTAACCACAGCTAACCTTGCTTACTTTCGGAGACCTGAAGAGATCAAGCTCCATGCCATCAGGTGAAATGCTCTCTCATCAGCCTCAACAGCTGCAAAGAGATGCAACACTGGCCCACAGCATTCCATGTGACTGGAATGTGCTTCATGGGAGGAAATTTGTATTTTCCTGGCAGCAGCCTGGAGCCACTGCACGGGTCTCACCGAAGGGAAGGGGTTTGCTCACTGCCATAACAGCAGCAATGGCTGGACCTAGTACTGCTTGTGATGAGCTGCACACTTGCATCCAGCAAGCTGTTCTATGCATGGGAAACCTGGCATACCACGATATGGAATGGCTCTCCATTGATATGAAATTAATACTGTGTATGCATGAGTTGGCTCCCTCTACTTGATTCTTGGTCACTGCAACAGACATTTACATGTACATGTAAATGTGTGAGAAACAGAGAGAACGCATATGCGTGAGGATAAGTTCCTTTACGTACCGGCAATCCAAATTATGGCATTCAGTCAAACTACACCGTGACCAAGAATCGAATTCCAGGATGACACTCGATGCTCCCTCTAAGCTGTGGAAGCCTTGTGAGCAAAAATTCTACTTGGTGAGCTACTGGCATTAAAGTTGTGAGCAAGTGATTTGGCCGCTGCATAAATCAGTTTGCTCTGGAGCCCTCCTTCCTGAGCTAAGGCAACAATGTGTGAGCCGGAGGCTAAAAAACTGAGCTAGCTCACGCTAACTCAGCTTAGAGGGAACACTGATGACACTATACAGACAGAGGGCTCAGCTCTTAATGGCTGAGATTCATCAAGGGAATATCTAGCTCCTTCTCCCAAGGGTACCCAAGTGCACGCCTTTACTTTCTTCCACATCAGCAAACACAGAGCGCATAGAGAAACGGCATCCCTTCCGAGGGTCCTTGTAATACAAACACCACCCTGGTTTACTATGTATCTGCTACATATTAGCATGTTTTACTATATATTTTATGTTTCTATAATGCCCTGGCCTGGACGGCCCAGGTTAGCCTGATCTCATTGATCTCGGAATCTAAGCAAGGTCAGTTCCAGTTTCAGTTTATTAGGTTTAAGAGCCTATAGGCCATACACCATAAAAAAAAAGAAAAAAGGATTTAATTTCAACTTTAAACATTTTTAAACATTTAAAAAGACAGTATAACAGAAAGGTGCCACATCTATTATACAGTCATTGCACAGAGCACTCAGCAGAAGTCTCAACCTTGTAGATCCCGAAAAGGAAGAAAATTTTAATTTCTCTCCTGACTGCGTGGTCAGTCCTGATCAGCATTTGGATGCAGGACCACCAAGGAAGTCCAGGGTCGCTACGCAGAGGCAGGCAATGGCAAACCATCTCCGGACATCTCTTGCCAAGCTTGAAAACCATATGGGGTCTCCTTAAAGTTGGCAGTTTCCACCACCATTTATTTAAAACATTTATTAGCACTTTTCTTCCTTACGCAGCTCTCAAGGCAGCTTTACAAACACAGGGGGGGAAACGCACCACAGAATAAAATATATTAAAAACATAAAACCAGAATTTAAAATCACTATTCAAGACTGCTTCTAGACTTAACCAGATGCAGTCCTGAATAAAACTGTCTTCAACAGCCTCCCAGAGACGGAAATATTGGGCGTGTGTTTTATTTCGGCGTTTTGATGTGGTGTTTTAGATGTACTTTCCTGTAGTTTAAATTGCAGACCTTTAGAGTAAGAAAGAGGGGGGCTGGATGGGTTATTGAAATGTGTTAATGAATGGATAGTAGCTGTATCGTAGAGGGAGAAGTTCTGTGCGTAAGAGACGAGAAGAGAGTTGAGTGGATGAAGAGACTGAGTGAGGTGCTGTGGAGCGTGAGAGAAATCTGTGCTCTTTGTGGAAGTTATGACCCTACGTGGCAAGTGAGAAAATAAGCCTCTGTGGCTAGGTCTATTTAAGGAACTTCAGAGAAAGGAGGCAAACTGTACCCATCTGAAACCATTACGGTTATGTACCTACTTGAAACCATTACACTAATGAACTACACTGAAACTGTTATGCTGTTATGCTTCCAAATAAATTCTATTTATGTTTGAGAGAACAGCTGTTGCATTTAGAGTAAAGGATCCCCTTTTACCTCAGAGCCACCCTCTTGCATTGAGCATTCGGTCATTCTACTGGATAGAACAAAGCCAGCCTGTTCTGGGGTCCACTTGAGAACGCTAAGGCAAGAGCCTTCTTTGGTGGCAGCAAAAGTAAGTAGAAAATGCTAAGGAAGGCAAGGAGGCAGCATAACACATGTCACCTCAGAACACTACAGACCGTTGCCATTAAAGGTGTTCCGTATAAGGGGTCTTGGAAAGAAGCAACAGGTTACGTCACCCAACTTTTTCCATCCCACCTGGCAGAATAATGGGGCCTTTCTCCAGTACCAAGCGAATCCCCAAAGCCATTACCTGCTAGATTGTCAAGCATGTAGTTCAATAGTTTCCGTGTCCCATCTGGGTCCTGGTACAGGCTGAGAATATCTTGTGATAAAGGATTGCCTGAAATCCAACAAAGCAACATTTTTAAATGGGCAGTGCCAGCTTTAGGCAACATGGTTCTAAGCGGCAGAAACTACAGCAAGATCCTCTCACTTTTACATGGCTGGGGCCTGCATTTCTTTCCTCTTAATATTTACACAAAAACATTCAGGGTTCTGGAACAAGGTAACATGGCCAATTATTTCCCCATCTCTCGGAAACAAGGCAAACAGCACTGGTCCCATATATGTGACAATGATTAACAAGGGGATCTGTACGTATGCCCTGGTTTTATTGTTTTTATACAAAGTTCGATATTATGAACTGTCAGATGATCCCAAGAAGCAGCTCAACGGAAGTACTACTTTGATTCAATAAAATAATTAAGACTCAGCGCCTTCGTCCAAATGCCTTTCTGTTCTTCTTGGTCTGAGACACCATTCCTCTCTTGCTCCACCATTCCACCCCCAACATGAGCCACCTACTCCTTATGGTATGTCCTTAATTCAGCTCCCTGAAGACACAAGGCCAAGTAAGAAGAACTACTTCTTTACCCAAAGAGTGATTAACACATGGAATTCACTGCCACAGGAGGTGGTGGTGGCTACAAGCATGGACAGTTTCAAGAGGGAATTGGATAAACATACAGAGCAGAGGTCCATCAGTGGCTATTAGCCACAAGGTATAGATAGGAACTCTGGGTCAAGTGATGCTCTGTATTCTTGGTGCTTGGTGGGGGGCAACAGTGGGAGGGCTTGTAGTGTCCTAGCCCCACTGATGGACCTCCTGGTGGCATTTTTGGCCACTGTGTGACAGAGTGTTGGACTGGATGGGCCATTGGCCTGATCCAACATTTGGCTTCTCTTATGTTCTCATGAGTATGGCTTGCTATTCAGCTATGTATCTTGCATTCTTTAGCTTGGTCCCCCAAAGCAAGTGGTTCTCCTTCGCCCACTGGGCATGGGAGGAGTTAGTGCACACACTTTGAATGCTCATGGTCTGAGGCAATGTTCGCTCTAAGCTGAGTTAGTGTGAGCTAGCTCACAGTTTTTTAGCCTCCGGCTCACACATTTTTGTCTTAGCACAGGAAGGAAGGCTCCAGAGCAAACTAATTTATGCAGTAGCCAAATCGCTCGCTCACAACTTGAATGCCAGCAGCTCACAAAGTAGGATTTTTGCTCACAAGACTCCACAGCTTAAAGGAAGCATTGGTCTGAGGTTCAACCCCTGCCTCTTTAAGTTAAGGTGGGCTGGAAGAGTTCTTTGCCTAGGACCTTGGACAGCAGCTGCTAGTCATTGCAAATAATACTGAACAAGGCCGATCAGTGGTCCCCAACCTTTTTTGAGCATGTGGGAATTCTGACACAGGGTAGTGGGTGCAACCACTACCTCCACACAGGGTTCATTTCGTAGAAAAAGAGCTAGGAGAACTCATTAGCATAACTCATTAGCATATGCCGCACCCCCTGACATCACCGGAAGTGTGTCATAAGGCCACACACCCCGCCCCCAACGGTCCCGGCCGCCGGCGGCCTTGCAGCTCCACTGCCGAGCCCCATGAGGGGCCCGGCGGTGGACCTGCAAGGCCGGCGGGAGTGCAAGGAAGCCCCGCGAAGGCCCTCCCTGGCCCCAGGCAGGCAGGGGTGGGGAGAGGCAGGGAGGAAGCAACTTACCCTCCCTCTTCTCCTGCCTCCTCCTGGCTGAATGAGGGCCGGAAGCGGGGCGGCCGGAAGCAGGGGGCGGGGCTTCGTCATGTGCCCCCCCGTACCTCACCCGGGGGAACTGCGATCCCCCGCGATCCCTCCCAAAATGATCTCTGCCTCCATAGGAGGTAGAGCCAGTCACAAAATGTCAAGCAGAGAAGACCTGCATAACTCTAACAGTAACTCTTCCAGCATTCCATGAAGAAGCTCTGTTTAACAGGATACCTTTTAGAATCAACGTATTGTTTAAAAAATGCATTCTTGCATACATACAGCGTACTTCAGTCATGAAGTGACGCTCCTTGGGCTGGCGGCTGCTGCCAAAGCAATTTTTTTCTTTAAAAAAAAAAAATCTGCACTGCCAGTCAGATCTCCAATCAGAAGCCCTGTGGGGCAAATGTCTAAAAACACTTGGTGGGCAAAGGCAAGCTGTCAGAGAGGCAATGCTCCCTCTAAGCTGTGGAGTCTTGTCAGCAAAAATCCTACTTCGTGAGCTACTGGCATTAAAGTTGTGAGTGAGCGATTTGGCTGCTGCATAAATTAAGTGCGCTATGGAGCCCTCCTTCCTGAGCTCAGACAAAAATGTGTGAGCCAGAGGCTAAAAAAACTGCGAGCTAGCTCACACTAACTCAGCTTAGAGGGAACAGTCAGAGGGCGCCACGCTGGGGATCCTTGAGATAGACCTATGGTCCGACTTGGGTACACAGCAGCTTTGCATGTTCACCGTGGCACTGATGCCTGCCTTTTCCTCTGCTTCAGGTGAGTATGGCTTATTATTCAGCTATGTTATTCAGCAGTCCATTGTTATTCAGCTATGGACTGCTCCCAAGTACCATATTTCCCGGGCAGACAATTGGCTCTGCTCCCAAGTACCATATTTCCCGGGCAGACAATTTCCCTGGGTATTAAGGTCAGAAATACATCCCATAACGAACCACCAAAACTCATAGCAGCCCGGTTAATATAAACCTCAGTGGCAACGGCATGTCCCGCCACAAGACAATGAAGGAAGAATAGTTATTTCTTTACAGTTAAAGAACGGTCTAAGCCTAGAACAGTACAGGCTGGTGAGGGGAGGGAAAGAGGACATGCTTCAG